CGTCAATAATGCCGCCAATTATTGTCGAAGCAAACATATCGCCAAGTCGAGTATTTGCACAAGGCGTCCTTGTCCTTGTCCCTGAAAATTGGAACTCGAATCGAGAAATCAAAACGCTGCCGGGCGCATTTCGGGTTTTAAAAATCAAGCAAGTACAGACTGATAGATAAAGTTGATTTTTCGTTTGGAAAAATAGATTACAGAGAATTTGTAAATTGATTAAATTCGAAAGACAAATATGCAAGAATATAAGTTCTGTGGCTCTATTCTGAACTACTTTAGGGAAAAATGTCAGGAAAAATAATATTTAACCAACATTCTACTTAGATCTTAGAGCTAAAGTTAGAAAAGACCTTCTTGCCACTTTCTTCCTCATCTTGTTTGTTTAATTTTTTGACAAACTTATTATGCACTCAGCGGGATATACAAATAGGCAACCAAGTTAATTTCAATAAAAAGCCTTCACTTCACTCCAGTCTGGGTTTGTGGCCTTTGGCATCGCCTGTCAGCGGAGTCTGTCAGTCAGCCAAGTTAGTGGGGTTGGCTGAGAGTATTGGTAGGAATCCGGGAGGAGGAATGGATTGCAGTGGAGTGGCTGAGCGGGAGAAGCCGCCCAAAAAGAGGCAAGATGCAAACGCATTGGCCATGTATGTTACCGTTGCCCATCGGCTGACTCATGACGCGACCACGGCCCGCTGTCATTTTAGCCATTTGCGTTGTCAGTCGTTAGCCATATACGCCATATACGACCGAATGCGAGTGCATACAAAAGGATTTGTCTGTCGTGGCCAAAGGCGCTTTGATTAATTGCCGACTTAGAGTAAACCAAACAGAAAAAGAAAATATCAGGAAAAAAAAGGATGCCAGGCCATTCTCGTTAGGCCAAGACCGCAAAACCAAAACTGAAAACTGAAAACTGAAACCGATGCCAAAACCAAAACCAAAACCAAAGCCAAAAGCTGACGTGTGGCGTTGGCGTGAATCACTTGAGCCAAAAGGTCAGGCCAACAAGGTTGAAGAAATGCAAACGGCAGAAATTAATTGCCAAGTTTGTCTGGGAAATGCGGAAATTAATTGGACGAACCACCGAACAAACGACAAACTTCGTGGCGCAACAAATTGCCAACAAATTCGACTGGAAGCAGTGCGCACTAGCCAATAATAAATGGCCAAATGGTAAGCCGCAAAAAGCCAAAAAAAAACAAAGCGTTTAGCTTCTGCGCATTTTTGCGTGAAGAGAGCAGCAGTCGAGAGACAAAGCGGAGAAAGAGAGTCATTACCACGCACTGCAGCCTGGCAATCGGGGGTCAAGAGGTTAATGGGCAACATTAATAGACATCGTACGAGGCAATCGGGCTGACCGGTTGGCAATCGCTTTAGCACTAGCTTGAGATGCACTAGAGGAAATATCTACATAGATTTGATTACTTTTACTTTACTTCTTAAAATAAGAACTAGGTGCTGAAAAACTAAGTCTAAACATCTTCAATCATATCCTCTCTCATTTTAGTAAAACTTCTTTAGAATGTTGAAAATTCTTCTATTGTTGAAAAGTAACAGTATATAGCAGAAAGGTAATCTACAATTTCCCGCAGTGCATTTCGATCTTCGGTTGGAAAAGCTATCGGCAAAGCGCTAATGTCGCCTTGATTGCCTGGCCCTGGGCTGGAAAACTTTCCTCCGATCTGGGCATCAAAACGAATGCGTATTTAAATCCATCGAATATGTTATTTCACAGCAAACGGCGACGAAAAGCGAAACTTTCCCACTCCCCATGGATGGTAATGCACTTATGAAAAGCCATGGCATATAGACAATTGCTGCAATTTGTATGCACTCTGCCGATTGCCCGTGCATATGATTGACTTATTGATTGGCTGATTGATCGATTGCTCGCTGGCTCACTACTGGCCCCAGCTAAAGTGACGGACTGGCTGACATTAAGCCTCGGCCAGGCCTCAATTAGCTAAGCTGACAGTCGCCAGCGGCCAGTACTCTACTATATATATATATATATACTATACTATATAGTCGCCAGTTCATAGAACTCAGGCTACCGTTATGCCGCACTACCTATATATAGTTCGATTTGACTGAATGCTAATTATAAGTACGCCAAATCGGGAGTCTAGACTTCATAAATAAAGCCCCAATCGAACCAACTACGTGCCACGCATGCGCATATCGATTTATTTATATCGCAAGGCGAGTTAATGCATTGGCAAATATTTACGATGTCAAATGCATTGAAATTGCAATGCAAATGTGCAAAAATGTTGTGTTTATTTCGCCAGGCTGTTGATGCCCATAAATCACGAGTTAAACATGCAAGAAAATCGCCCCAGAAGCCGAGAAATGTTGGCTGTTTTGTTTCGGTTTCTGTGAGTTTCAGTCTTTGTTTTGTGGATTACAAAAAAAAAAAAGTAGTCGGGCGTTGCTATACAACAGCCTACCTACTTAACTTTTAATTTATGCGTAAGTCTGGATTTAGTAGCTTTTCAATATTAATTTCATACTCCAAAAGAGCACGGCATGTGCAAGCCCATAAATCACAATAACACAAATAAAGCATGGTTTATATCCATGCCCCATTCGGATTTATAACACAGATGGGGAAAAAGGGGCAGCAGCCAGAGTCATCGCTGGGGCATATTTTAATTTATGTTTTCCGATGTCGTTCGTCGTTTTACGATCGTTTTTTATATATAACTTCCACCGGATTACTGCATCTGGGGTATATTAGCTTCGCGATAAGGAAGGGATCAATGGGCTGTCTGTCTAATCCGAATGTCACAACCAAATGCAGCACAACCCACTGATTTTATAGCCCAAAAGTTTTGACTAATCGTTGGTAGCCCAGCTGCTGGCAGCTTCTCTTTTACTTTCCATGAAATTAATGAGGTGCCCTGGACACTCAAAAAAACCAAAGGGATAAATATTTAAACATTATCTTCTTCTCAAATATTTATTTCTTTATGATTATTTTTTTCTTTAATCAAAAAAAAACTAGGGCTGTGAGTAGTGAGAGAAATTTAACTAGGGGCCCGACCCGTTTGGGGGCTTAATTGTGTGACGTCGGCCGTCAGCGACGGGGACAGCTCCTACGATTTGGCAACAAATCCTATTAGAGCTGCCCGAAAAGTGCCCGCGGCCGGAGGCTTTGGCAAACACACAAATTTAATAAATAAAATAAAATGGAAAATAATCATAAATACAAAGAGCGCGCAGCTGTGCCACAAGCCGCCACAAAAGCCCGTAAGTCCGTAAGTGGCAAAGATCAAGCCGAGTCGCGGTCCCAGGCTAAAATAGAAAAAAAACCAAAAACCGAAGGAAAAAAAAACGAAATGGTGAGCCTGGCTTTTTGGCGAGGGCGTGTGTAATTTGACATCTTCATGAAATAATTAAAATTATTTATTGTTAATTTATTTTCACTCTTCGGCCACAATAGATAAAGTGAAAAGATAAGCGGCATGTGTGTGGATTAAACAATTGAAATTAATTTGTCAAACGTTTGACAGGCCCGGCCACGCCCCCACTTCAAAGAGGCGACGCTTTTGCGGCAATGTGGTGAAAGGAATGGAATTTCCGAGGCAAACTTTCACGGCGAAAAGCTTTTAGCCGGGGCCAGCGCAAAAGGTCAACCCCGCTGGCCAATAAGGTAGCAGTTAGTCGAGTTCGCAACCGGCCCAAATGCAAATGCCTTTTCCGCAGGCTCACCGAAAGAAAATATTCTAAGAAGTTTAGTTATATATATTTTAAAGGTTTATTTATGCTTTAAGGTTAAAATGGATTTCTTATTTGAGAAGTCGGTGTATTGGAAGGATTAGTGATTTTCTAGTATTATGTGGCCAACATTTTTCCTAATTCATCAAATTACATCAACTTGTTGATCCTTCAAATCGACAAAACAGAAAGATACACTTAAAAAGTGGTAAACTTAAAGGTTTAAAATTATTTTAAAATATAGAAAGAACTATTACATATTGCAATGAATAGAAATAACAATATATAAAGGAGAACCGATTTTCCCCTAAAAATTATAACCTTGGAAAAAATCTGTTCGAAATTCTTAAATAAATTTTTGGATATTTCATTAGGTTCTACCTGTTGCCTTGTTTTCCCTGTTTTTAAAGCCTTTTCTCCCTGTGCTTGGTGCCACAACAAATTAATCAGTGAGTGGCTAGCCGCACTTCGGTGGGCGGCAAACAGCATTTGGGGAACTCTGGGGATCTGTGAGATCTGCAAGATTTCGGCTACCTGCTGTCGAGCTGCCCTCCGGCCAAATATCGCGAATGCAATTAAATGCAGTTTGCAGTTTGCAGCTTGCAGGTTGCACTTTTCAGTTTTCAGTTTTCAGTTGGCTGGTCCGCACGGGCAGTTAATCATGCATCGACAGCCGGCTTTCTGCCGGCAAAACAGCAGCTCAACATTTTGGCGGTCACTTAGAAGTGGTGCCCATGGAAAGTGTTGCGCAAAAAGCGGCTGGCAATTAAAACACGTAGTGGCTTTGGCTTTGGTTTGGCTTTTTGGCTGGGGATGGTGGGGATATGGATGTGGATGTGGATGTGGATATGGTTGTAGCTCCTGCTGCCATGACGCACAGATGGCGTTGTTGCTGGCCAAGAGTCCACACTGTGATGTGCGCAGCGAATCGGCTTTCAACGTAGCTCCAATCCACACCATTCCGCGGCAGGAATGAGGAAACGTTTTGGTGAAAAGCTGAGACGCGTTGAGAAATGTGGTTAATTGATTTTTGCTTTTGTGTGTAATTAATTTATGGTTTCCTTTCCGATTCACTTGCAGAATGCCAGCGTTTTATTGTTTATATTGAAAGGCAGGTGAATGTGTCACAGAGTTACAGTTGTTATAAAAAATGAATCCATAATATGGGGTGTCAGAATGATTACGAATATTCTGAAATATATATCTTTTGTTCAAATTTAACATTTTACTTTTATCATTTGTATTAATCTTGACTTAACTTCCTATTCCCTTTATAGAATCACCCTGCATGGCTATACGACAATGTCCAATGCTCGCGAGCTGGCATTGATCGAGAAATGGGCTGACATTGCTACGCCGGCGACGCCGAATCGGCCGACATTATCGCCAACATCGCCGCCAGCGCTCCATCGATCCATCGTGAAATTCTGCTGCTGCCCCCAGCGCAGGCGCTACAATCTCAAGCAGGCCAAGAGCAACAGCAACAACAATAAGTCGACGGTGAACACGCTGCATGCCAGAAATATATTCGTCGATAGCGATTTCAGCTATATTGATGATGTGCCGCGGCGACGCCAAGATTGCCACAGCGATTACGACGATTGCAACTACGAATGTGGCGGCGATAAAGCAGATGATGAGGCCAATGATATCGCTGCTCCACCAAGAGACGACGGAAATGTGGCGCTGATATTAATGAATCAACGAAATCTGGCCGAACAATGGCGGCAGGACAACAAAGGCAAAAGCAACAGCAGCAGCAGCAACAGCAACAAAGTAACAGCAACAGCAACAGCAACAGCAGCAGCAACTAAAACTTGCGCTGTCACAAAGAGCCCGCAAAGTGGCAATGAGCAACAGCAACACCAGCAGCAGCAACGACAACCAACCCAAAGACTAAGCAATAGCTTGCAACAGCAAAAGCAACAGCAACAGCAGCAACAACACCAACAATTGCAACAGCAACATAGCAATAAGGAAAATACACTAAGCTACGACAACAACAACAAGCCGCACTGTAATTATTGTAAATTACCCGACACCGCCGAGCCCCAAACGAATAGCAATAGCAACTCGAAAATTGATTCACCGAAGTCGTCGCAGAATAAAATGACAATTACGACAGCAACAGAAACAGCAACGGCAACGGCGGCAACAGCAACAACAGCGACTAGCGAGTGTGGGCTGCCAGCAGCAACAACAGCAACAGCAGCAACATCAGAAGAGTTTGTGGGTGCTGCCACAGAAGTGCTGTGCAGCGATAAAGCAACATTGACAGCAACAACAAAAACAACAACAGAAACACCTAAGCCCCGCATTGCAGCGCGTCCGACCACGCCCAGCCGCCTTAAGACTGTGATCAAAACGACAATGGTGAAGCGAAGTCCTAGCCATGACTCAACGGCAACAGCAACACATGTGTTGCTGCCAAACAGCTGCAACAGCAACGGCCACAGCAGCAACATTGGAGCTCATGACGAGCCCAGACGTTCGGTTAGGGAGCGCATCGCCGCCTTTGCGGCAGGAAATGGTAAGTTTCTTCAGTTCGCCCGCTTAATCAGCTTTGGCAACTAAGTCGCATTGTCGCCGGGGCGGAAATGTTGCATGTATATGCACATACATTGTGGGAAATATCGGACCGGGCTAGGCTCACACTCATTAGGCTAGTTAATAGCCGCCGTTATTATTATTAATTGATACGAAACAGGGTTCTTTATACTTGGGGGAAAGAGAAAATTCCCAACTGTGAGATCATAAAATTATTTAAAAGTGGCCATAAAATATATGAAGCGTATTAAGTTTAAATTTATTGAATAATAAAGGCGGCACTTAGGCGGTCTTCTCATATATTTTTATGTTTATTAAGTTTAAGTTTAAGTTAAGTTTTTATTTATATTTAAAGTACTCTATTAAGAAAACTCGTTCTTCATCTATAAAATTTAAAAGTAGATAACTTTTAAAACGAGTTTTTGGTTTGATATTTACACAGACTTTTATTTTCTAGTAAGTAACTAATTGATCCCTTTAAGGTAGCAAGGTCAACCAGAACCTAAAGCCAGCTCAGTTCCACGTCATTTCCTGTTTCTGAATGCTCACGAGATATACGTGTTTGCCGATGTAAGCGATAAGAGATAAATGCCAGAAAATTGCATTAAATCTCAGAGAATGAATCCCGAGCATGTGAATCATTTTCAAAATCAAATTCAGAGAAATCAAATTAAAAGCAATTAAAGGTCCTTTTTAAAATACTTGATAAATTAACTAGAAAATCGATTGTATATCGGCATGTAAGGGAAATTTATAGAAACTCGTACCAGCTGCTTAGGGCGTGTGCATAACTATTGCCTTTTTTTGTGACTTTTTCTTTATATTGTTCCGACTGTAAAAAACTGCATGAATTATGCATGACGTGAAGCCTTTGGATTTCCGTTAACATGACACACTCACTTGGGCACAGGCAAACACACACACCTTTGGCATTTAATACAAAGAGTCGAATCTATTACAAATCAATTAAATGCCGCAATGTTTAATAAAAAGCCACTTAAGGCGGCATTAAAAACTTCCCCCAAGAAACTGTCTACCATCATTGTGGTTATTAATAATGTAAAAATGCGTCTGCCAGTCCTAGGCAATTGGGAAAGTCGTAAAAGTCGAATGATTGCCGTTTGGGTGCAGCCTGAAAACGCACTTGCAGGCGGCCAAAAAAAAAAAAAAAGAAAAACACTCCCCGGTCAGCTTTGTCACCAGCAGTAAAGTGCACTCCATTTGATTCCACACACACACACACAGCCACGCCCCATAAACTGCACTTTTGCACACACCAAAAATCAAAACAAAACTTAAAAAAAAGAAAAGAAAAAAAACGGCAACGACAGCGACAAAAGGCGCAACAGGAAACACGTACATGCGGCAATCGACGTCATGAGTGCGTATTATATCATTTTGATAGGCAAATGAGGCTTGAAAGCCGCCCGAGCTGAAGTCGTTCCCAAAGACTGGCTTAAGCCCCAGGCTCCCAACTCCAAGCCCTGCCCTTAGTGGACTTGGCTTGGAAAGAAACGAACACTTACATACCCTTTAAGGATAAAACTTTGAAATCATTAAACTTATCAAATATTTGGGGTTTTCGGTACATTCTAATAATGAGAAGAAACGTTTCTCAAGGGAATAAACAAGTTTTAAAAATGTTTACAAAAACCCATAGAGTTTATTTTCTAATAATAAAAAACCCTTTCGAAAGGGTATCCAAAACCAAGTCCAAAGAATAATCCTCCGACTGGCGGCGTCTTAGGGCGCCTGTGATCTGTGCTGATCGGCATGACGAAGACGTTGTCCCAACCCGACACACGTCAGTTCAGAGTTTTTCTACATCTGGATAGTGGACTGTGGATTCTGGAGTCAAGTTGAGTTGAGTTGAGTCGCTTCTTTCTTGCTCATCGCCCGCTAATCGCGTGTCCAAGTGTCCGAGTGCTCGCTGGTGCATTTTTGCCGGGCTGACAGCTTCTGCTGTGCTTATTTCATTTTATTTATTTATTTACTCGCTCTTACTCATTCTGCACCACTCGGCCAGTCGAGATGAAATGCATTGAGGTAGGTCCCTTCCTGCCGGGGGAAAGAAAACAACTGCATCAACTGCATTGCACACGAACGGCAGGCAAATATTGACCAGCTCTCTGTGGTCTTTCAATAAGTGTGTTTCACAAGCAACTGGCTTGTACTTTTGTACTTTTGCATTGTTTTCAATTAGGCACACAGAGTGACACCTCCGCAAACGACTCGCCCCTTCTCCTCCTCCGCAATTTGTGGCAATCGGCAATTAATCACGTTGAAGTGACCTCAGCCAGCGAATCAATCAGCAGCTACAAAATGAAATAAAAATCCACACACACACGCCCATCAATGAATGGTGGACGTGGACGGTGGCCATTTAGCGGACACACCCCGGCAAACAATTTTATTTCAAGTAAATAAGCAAATAAGCTAAATGCGTACAAATGTTTTGTTTTCGCGTTCTTTGTTCGTGTTTACAGAGCCACAAAAACCGAACGAGTACGAATCGCCTCCAAATAAAAAGGAATTTATGACCAATCATCAAATAGAACAATGGTTGCGAATTTCTTTTCTAACCGGTAAATGTCTTTGTATATCCCCGTTTAAGCTTGCTAATTAGAAAGGTAAATTAAAGCTAAAATTAGAACTATTTCTGGGTAAATGCGAAAGGAAATGACACACGATTTGAATAGGTAGCTAAAATAAACCCAAACTTGACATTAAGAAATCTTAGGAAGTCAAAAATCTTGGTAATAATTATAAAGTTTTGGAGGTTATAGAGATATTTTCAAGATATTTTTCAATATTTTTAAAGACTCATTTAGAGAATAAATTTAGTACATACTCCTCAAAAAGCAAGTCTCCATCGGACATGTCGCCAAAAACTGGCATTTAGTTAAGAAATCGCAATCGAAATTGGGGGAAGACCTCCCATGAACTCGCAACGCGTCACCCACACGTCGGCAGAGTCCCGTCCCTATGGGCCAGGAGTACCGTTAGCGTTGCACAATTGAAATGCAGAAATAAAATACAAATAAAAAATAAAATACAAAAAAAAATAAGGAGAAGAAAAGTGCAGCCGAGTGTGGGCCTGGCTTTTGCTGTTGTACCGACTGCAGCCTGAACTGGCGGCCTGCCAATCGGCCCAAAACGATCAATTGGCAGAGAGACCCCCATAAAATGTTGCCAACTGTCCCTGTCCGCTGACTGACTCTCGTTTGCAGCCGCTGATTTACGAGCTCGCCACGGGCCGTTGTGTAACGCATGCGATTCAGAATTTTTAAATGCCAAGCTTATATCTTTTTTCTTTTTTTTTTTTTTTGACCAGCAGAAGTGGAGTCAGTCACAGAGACCCAGACCCCTGGTTGCTATTGGTTTTTGTTTTTATTTAGGTATTGCTGTACTGCTGTCGCCAAGTCGCGACGGTGGCGGCGACATTTTAATCAAAAAACTCAATCGAACGCACGCATGCGCAATAAAAACAAAAATCAAATCAAACCCATAAAATCACACACAGCAACAACCACAGGCGCTCTTTAACCGTTTCACTTATCCATTTGGAAAACGGGAAAAGAGTAAAATAAAATATACGTATATATACATAAATAGATATAGACAGATGCCGGCCGGGTTGGTTGGTCGGGGTTCTTCCGTTTGACAAAAGTTCACATAACCTTAGCCCCTATGCGAATTTCAATTCGATTCGCTGGGAATTTATTAACATTTATGTGGGTTAGAGAGCTTAGACTGGCAGTGAGAATAGATTTGCAGTCTATGATATGTGCTTTATATTTCCGGGAAAGGATGTTTAAGTTATGAGATTACTATAGGAAACCGTTTAAACTAAGAAAAATCTATTAAAATCAGGAATAATATTTTCCTTTCAAAATTAGTCATCGTTCTCCATATAAAATACAAATCCAAAGCTGATTGCGATGACCCATTTCCAACTTCAGCTGTGACATAAATTCAAAAGACAACATACTCCTTGGGCGTGACTCTCTGGCTCCATAATAGAACCCCACTGAAAATAAATAATGCGAACCACTCGGGAAATGGTTAAACGTGGTGTGAGCAATAAATTCGTGTACGAGTATGTAAATAATTGCCTGCAATTTTTTCTGCGCCCGTACGAAATTAATTAAAACATTCGAGCAGGCAAACACATATGCCAAATAAAAAGGAGTTAAGTCCACACACACATGTGCCTGGCATATTGCAAAATTTATGACAATTTAAATGGCACACATTTGGTGGACAATTCGTGGCGATTAGCGCAGAAATTTTCGCGCAGTCGGCTTAAGCCACATGTGTTTGGCTGCCGCGACTGGAGGTTTTTCATTTTCATTTTCGTTTTCATTGGGAAATTGTTCAGGGTGCGCCGGTCACATAATGACAGCTTTATGTGCAGAAATATTGCCGAGATTAACCAAGCTTATAAACTTTTTGTTGGTTTTTCTTTTTCACTTACAGAGCAACAACAACAACAACAACAACAGCAAGGCAACGCGGCAACATGACAAAGTCAAGAAGTTAACCAAAATGCAGTGCAATAGCAATACAAATCAAAACAACATGACAGGAGAAGATGTGAAAAGTGCAATTAGCAACAGCAGCGGCAACAGCAACAGCAACAACCAACAGCAGCAGCAGCAGCAACATCAAACGCTTATCAACGGCCAGGCAGTGACTATGCCGGCAGCAACAGGAGGAGTTGCAGGAGCAACATCTACGGCAGCAACATCAAGCCGCACGTCAGCAATCGCCGCTGACACGACGCGCTACAAATCGGGATTAAGTGATGTGGCGGCCAACGGAGACGTTGATGGTCGGCCAACTTCATCTGCCACCACATCTGAAGTTGCTGCTGCTCCAACTGCCGCTCCGAGCGTTTTTAGCACCGGTTGTGCAACCATGCCGCGAACTCGCCAATACGGAAGCAATGGTGCTGCTGCTGGAGCTGTTGCTGCTGCTGTTGCAACAGGAGCAACGCCAGCCAGCAACACCATGACAGCTGATAAGAAATTCTTAAGTCAGGCGGCGCCCGTTCAGGGGCATCATCATCATAAGCTGCAATTTGTCGATAAGGCCGACTCCGAATTGGCCGCATTGGACAATCTAGACCTGGCTCACAGTCTCGATTTATTGGACGTCGATGGCGAGGATCCGTACGGAGCTTTGCAGGAATATTTGGAGCGTGTCAAGGTGAGTGTGTGCTTTGATGGACAGCTAGTGGTGGAGCTGATGCTGCTCTGGGAAATTCAGAGCTTTTCCGTTCCCAAGTTGCGCAATTTTCGCATTAGATTGACCATAGAGCCAAGGGGTGGTGGGTGCTCCACTTGTCTCAGTCCGTTGAATGACATTATTCAATTTCAGGCATTTTCACATGATAATAACCGACAATTTCTGTCCCCATCAACCAACACGCACATAGCAGTGCAGGGAGAAAAACTTGTTTATGAAATTAAAGAACTTATGGGAAATATTAATTATGGGTTTATGAGACAGGATGATTAGAAACTTTTAACACCGTATTATAAACTTATTAAATGAAGTTTTTAAATACAGATACCTTCCTAATTTTTCTCCCTGTAATCACACAATTGCCTGGAACCCAGCCTAGTGCCAGTCTTTCATTCAACGCCCCTCTCTAGCACTCCACTCCCCTCGCCTGCTGTCAACACGGCGTGATTTTGCAAATGATTATTTTGCGTGACAGAAAAATGTGTTAAGGCAAACTCACACACACAGAAACACACACGCAGCCGTAATATGTAACGCATACGCCGCGTTGCACGCCCGACTTTCTGTTGCCGCTTTGGCTGTCGTTTGGGTTGTCGTCAGCGGTCGTGTACATAAAATTTTATGTTTCTGTACCGGAAAGCGCAATATTACACATACACATCAACGATGACGGCAACGTCAACGGCCGAGGCTTTAGTTTTTTTCTTTTTCTTATTTTTTCCTCGCCTTTTCCATCGTTTTGTCTTTTTTTATAACTGTTTCGCATGAATTTTCCTCATTGCCGCCAGATTTTGTTGTTATTACTGTGTTTATTTGCCGCTCATGGCGGAAGCATAAACGCACGCACGCGCTTCTTGCCCCAAAAGTTGCGTTTATGATTCCGTTCTTGTGGTCAGTGGCATAAAAAACGCGTGCGTGGCGCGCCTAAAATTGGATTATTGAAAAGAAATTATATTGAACAGCTTTAGGAGAACTTTAATAATATTTTGTTCTTAAAATGTAATATTCTGCACTCTTTCCTTACTAAGCTCTTTATAGCCAACATAAGTTAGCCTTCTTATATCTCTATCAATGAAGCTCTCACAAATCGCCCCAGATTTAATGGCCTTTTTATTAGTTCAGAATTAAGAGCAAGGCGTTACCTGTAGTTTATATGACATTTATTTTTGCCATTAGTGTTCTGCAGATAACTACGCCATCAAATGCCCAGGAAGTATAGATAAAATAAACTTTGCAACCAAAGTGCTTTTTCGTCGTTTGTGCCAAAATGAAGCACCTACAAATCGCACTCAAAACGCCGGCGATTTAACTGCGTTTTTTACCGCACCAAATCAGAGCAAAGGCGGCTTTTATCGCTGCTGATCAACTGGGATGGGTTTGTGGGGCAGTAAATGCTGCACGCCATGCTCCGCCATATGCTGCATTTTATAATCAGTGTCATCACCTTAACACCCATCCAATGTGCCCGGCCACGCCCCCCTCCCGAACTGTAACTAAACTAAACTGAAACCTAGTTTGGCTTAGTTTTTTTTTTCTCTTGCTTTGCCTATTGGCGTGGGCTGTCGGCTTATGGCCTTACACCGCCGGTTATTAACGCCTTTTTACACATTTTCCTCTCTTTTTCCACCTCCAAATCCAACTAATTTTTTGGCTAAATTGAAATTATTAGCCGGCAACTGTGCCTAATGATGACAAAATGTGTCACAGCGCTGCCCACGCAGGCCGAAAAGCTTTCTTTTCGAGGCGGGAGTCGGGGGCAACGTCTCCTTTGTGCACATTTATTATGACAAATAGTGCAGCGTTTTGGCTGGAAATTGCCGTTACACGCTAAGACTGCTAAGACGCTTGTTGTTGGCGTGGCCTTAGGCTTAATTTGAATACACTGATAAAAAATATTAAAATTTACCGCTCATTTGCTGAGATTCTTTAATGATTTGAAAGTCGAAGTGGTTTAGTTTGCAACGTGAATAATATTATTTAAAACCACTTTTATAACAGGTGAAAATGTACTAAAATCTGCACTTTATAAGCACTTAAAATATAAAAATTTATTATTATTAACATTTAATAAATGTTTTTTGTATCCAATAATATTATAATTATCCCATAAATTTTAGGCATACTTTCTCCAGTTTTTCTTTAAATTACCCAATTGATTTCCATAAAATGGTTTTAATTTTTAAAAATCTATAAATTAGCTATCCATTTTCCAAGTGTAGTTATGAAATGCGTTAGTGGAGGCGGTAATCACCGCCTGACCCATTTAAGACGCACCGAAACGAAACGAAGCGAATCCATGACAGGCGATGGCAACTAGTTTTTTTTTTCCAGTCGCGCTTCCTGCATCAATTAGCGCTGGCTTTTGCGCAGATTTTCCATAATTTTACATGGACAAGCTGGCTAACTGACTAGCTGACTGACTGGCTAGCTGGCTAGCTGGCTGGATGGGGCAGAGTTTTCCCGTTTAAGCAGCCATTAATTGGCGCTCGTCAGCATCGACTATGGCTAAGTAAGCTTAATGCATCAATCAAGCTTTCAGCATGACAACGTGTATAAATATTGCCTTTCTGCCATTCGAAAATCTGATAAATCAGGCATACAGTTTGCGTGTGTTCTCAAATGATTTTAATTATAGATATTGACAAAGTGGCGATGGGAAATTGAGACGTAAGACGACTGCTGGCTGCGCCCAGGGATTGTTTTTAAGAGTTTTAGTTTTTAGGGGTTTTATTTTGTGGTCTGGTCTGGGCTGTTGGTTCGATGAACCCACAAAAAAAAAAAAAAAAGTATCTGCTTTAGCCAATTATGCGAATGCTGTTAATGAATGTGGGCGACGACTTGCCTTTTGGTTTATCTATATGGCTTTATGCAATGGCTCTGTCACTTGGCGAATGCGACTGCAAATGCGACGGCGCAGCTGCCTAGAGAAAGTTGTCTTTGCCCAATTTGCAAATGACGTTTTTTTGTCAACGTCAAACGGGCGAACGGGCCAAAACAAATGGCAATAAAAGGCAGCGCCTGCCTGCACGTTACTATTTTTGTCAACCAGGAGTTGATCTCGCGAAAAAACTAAAGAAAATCCCACAGGCCTACCCATGCCAAATGGAGTCAATAGAAAATAAAAAAAAAAAATCGTATATATTGTGGGAGAAGCTGAGAAGTTGATAGCAACTTTAAAACGAAAGTGATGCCAAGACTTCTACAATTTCACCGGCGGCAATCATAATTGCAGACAGCAATTAAGCCGCTGTCACAGGCTGCCAGCTACTCATGCTGATCGCGTTACAATTGCAGTTGCAGCGTTGCATTGTGGCTGCTTTGCCATGTTGCAACATTGCATGTTGCCAGTTGTCAAGTTCGGCTCGCTGACAATGCGTTGATATTTTCCGACAAGCAAATCAGCAACAGCCACCAAACTAAAAAAAAAATCACGGGCCTTGCCAACAGAAATTGAGCCAATTTGCTGATGCCGAATCGAAGCTCACAACTGGGAATCGCATTTTGCACGGTTAGTGCTCTTCTGAGCCCGGACTTTCTTTTTTTTTTTCCTCTAGCCGCTTGCCAAAAGTGACACAAAGTAGCTTTGGAGGTTTGAAAGCCAATGGAATTTAATTTGTACAATCCTCAATCCTGACACATCTGGCTCAATGGATTTGTGCAGTGCAATGACCAATTGCATCTGTTTTTTTGATGGTTTTTGTACTTATCTCGGAAGTTTTAGCACACTCTAAGTTTTGAATCAGTTATAGTATAAAAATATATCCAAAAAAAAAAACCAACCTACACACTCTTCGCTAATAAGACTGAATACTTAAAGGTTTTTGTTTTGAGTTATGTAAGAACGGTATGCGAGGGCTTCTGTGGGATTTCTTCTGAAGCTGTCACAGCTGTTTAGCACTAAGCTTACCTAACTCAAACTCTGCCCTCCAATGAACGCGTACATGTACCTTTTGGCTCTAAAAAGCTGCACGTGAGCTAACCACTTCAAGTGTCATTGCCCAGCGAAGAGTTGAACGCGGAGAGAAAATGTATATAGTACCGGGCTACGCTGCTTGCATTCTTCTAACCAAACATAGGTAAGCATATATACATTATATATATATATGCATATACACACTCCATATGAAGTGCCATTGAAATTATAATGATCTTCAGGGGATTTTGGAGCGATCGCTCGGACGTCAGGCTACCAAAAACCAAAAAACAAAAAAAAAAGCCAAAACGAGATAGAGATGGAAGAGCATATGGGTATTATTTAACCAATTTGTTGTTGCCCGCTTTTGGATCTCGCTATGACCTTCAATGGTCATTTGTTCAAAAACAAAGCGAGCTGGTCCGCTGGCTTACCAAAAAAGTATATATATATATATATATATATTTTGACGTTGATGTCGATGTGGTCAATGTCAATGTCAGAAATCAGTTGAAGTGGAAAATTTCAGTTCACAGTGGCTTACAGCTTCACTGTTGTTCCCTTCGAGTTTCTTTTAAGGTTCAGTGCTTGGCTAATAAGTTAAACTCGCGTGATTGATGTGCGTTTTGGGGATTACATGGCCCTTGCTGGCCTGACCTTTGCAGTCGTTCAGCAGCTGTTTTTTTTTTCAAAGTTACTGGTTGCCGTTGTTCTACAATATCTGCCTGCATATCTGAGATGTGGCATCAACTGCGTGCCACGCCCGCCTGTCTGCAGCTGTGTTTCTGTGGCTCCAATGGAGTCTAGACCCCGATGCTGGGCACAATGCTGATTGCATTTAGCGATAAATTAACCAATGAATACAATTAAAATAGGAAATACTCGCCTTGCAACAACATCGCCAAGGGCAACAAGGCGAGACCTTCGCAGAATACACAGGAAAAAAAATACGTAAATGACACCCCAGTTGGGAAGTCTTTCATAAAAAGCGTTACAAAACCTAATCCAAAGGCAATATCTTAATAGTTAATAGCCAACAATTTAGAAGTAGAACTCCAAGACAGAAAATAATTATGAATTATAAGAACTCTCTTGAGAACTAAAGGTCCTTTATAGAGTCTTAGCTTGCTAAAATTTCCTCCCAGTGCAGTTCTTGAAAGGCGTCCCCAAGGGCAACGGATCAGAATAACCTTCAATTCGATTCGATTTCTCTCAAAATCAATTGCATGCTGTACTTTATTGTGTGCCATATAGTTCTTCTACATGAGTCGAGGAAAAAGGTGCCCCAAGCCGAAAACTGAAAGCAAGAAAAACCCGAAGCCAAAAATCGCTCGCCGCATTTAAATGTTCAAATTGTTCGAATCAGTGTCCAAATGTGGATTAGCCGGGTGCGATTGCGTTAATTGTGTCTCGTGGGCATCGTTTTGTTCGCCTTGGGGTATGGGTATGGATCTCCGGAGGCGTTCCTCTACTGGCCAGGATGATGTTTTCACCTGCTGCTGGCGCATGTTCGGATTGCCAATGAAGCGGACATGAGGCATCAGCAATGGCTGTTGTTGCAACTCCTGTTGCTGCTGCTGCTGATCGGCTGACATTGATCTTGTCGAGTGCAATCTATTAGCGGGCAGTCGCCAAGAAGAAGCAAACGAAGCAGCAGCATCCTCCATTGACAGTGATGGCCTGACTGATTGATCGTAACCATTAATTTTATGCGTTGACATTCTTTGCGGCCAGTTGTTGTCGCTGTCATCTGGCCATTTTCCCGCCACCCGCTCACCCGTCCATTTCCCGCCGCTGGCTGTCAAGTGCCGCTTGCCGCGATTCGGAACGAATGGATCGTCGTTGTTGTAAAGATCCCGGAGCTGCAGCTTCTTGCCCCGGGTGGCAAAGAAGGGATCGTCCACTTGGAAAAGATTGCGATGTTTCTTTCCACGATGCGGATAGAACAGGTCGTCATACTTGAACAGATCCTTGACCTTGTCGCGTTTACCACGATTCGGCACGAAAGGCTCAAACCTATTCATCAGGGCGTCTAGGTCCGGCGAGGTGTGTTTGCGACCTCGAGGCGGTATAAAAGGGATCGTTCTCCTTGCTCATATCTTCTGAAAATAAGGCAGAGTATGGAATTAGCAATAAGTTAATTTAGTTTTAAAAGTTAGTTTAAGGATAATATAATCATTGTACCCACCGCCAAATTGATATCCATCGAATAGCTTCTCCCTCCTCACTAGCACATATTGCGGTTCATCCACAATTAGTGGCGGTTCCAAGTGACCTGACAAGTTCAGCTTCTTCCATAGAAACATTCCCGGATGATAGTTCTCAGCGGCACCATCACTTAGGTTGCCAAAAGGTCGTTGAATGGGATAGAGGAGTTGCATGGCCCAGTGCAGGAACTTGATGAGATCCTGTTCGCCAGTCAATAGCATAAAGACCTCATTGTTGCTCTGCTCCTCATCGTCGACATCTTCATCGGAATCATCAGAATCCGAGGAGGTAATCTCAGAGTCAGAATCCTGCATCGAACTCAGTTGCAAGTGGAGGCGGGCCAGAGCCTCTTTGTTCCTAATGATGAAGGAGGGGAATAAAGGTTTACGGTTTCTATACTCTGATTAATGCCTCATCATTTGTTCGCTTTAAGGAGCACAGCACATTCTCACATTTTTCATATCTGGCCACAAGCGTGGGTTGCTGGGGCCATGGGTTTCAATTACCCTTCTTGGCCAGAGTTTTTCTTTTCACAATGAAGAAAGAAAAACACAACACAAGACACCAAATTGATGAACTTATTTTTCCCACTCAAAAAACCAAAAACAACATATGACCCAGAAACCCAGCCTAAACTCTTCACTTATCCGAAGCTGTCAGGGCTGATCCAATTCAATCAAAAGTCAATTTGTGGCAATTCCATAGAAATTACTGTGTAAAATTACAAATTAGGCAAACAGCACAACAATCGAAAGTTATGCGGGCCCCATGGTCCATAATTAATCAAACATTTAACAAATCAACAAAAGGCAAACATAAGCGAACAGAAAATAATCATAATAATGATAAAGTCCCAGGCCCTGAGATGATTAATTCGAATTTAATAGCAGCGGCCAATAATTTTTCAACACAAAGATAATATTCCGCGCAAATTACAAGTCGCTGGAGAAGAAAAAGGAAATATTTTAAATAAAACAAAAAGCTAAAGCGAATAAAATGAAAAGTGAAACTCGTAATGCAGTTTTCGTTTCGATTTCGTTTCGGGGCAATGAATTTGCTGACAGTTGTTATTTTATAAAATAAATCAACATACGTTGCGGCGGTCTCCTGGCTCGGACTTGAAACAAAACTGCAATCGTTCGTACTGATTTTTTCACGCCCATTAATTGGTTTTGCGTGTTCCCAGTCGACAGCCAAATTGTCGACGATTTGTTGCCCCTCTTGTGGGTTAACCTTTTTTTTTTGGCACAGCCTGGCGCCCTGAAAAGGGTTAGCATTAACCCTCTATACGCCAAGGGTTTTTATAGCTTAAAATTTAATATATGATTAAGTCAAGATATTAATGAAAAGCTGATTTGTATGCCACATTTTCTACAGAATAGTAATCGAAATCTGTAAGTTTATGAATATTCCTCATCCGTAACGTAAATGTTTTTAAAATTTATATACTTAAAGGGTTAACTCCTCACTTTAGCCACCAAATTGGTTTACATGTGAAACGGAAACGAGGAGCTCAACTTTCTCAACTTTCCTTCTGTGCAGCCTTGAACCTGCTGGCCAATCTCTAAATGCCCCTTTCTTACCACCCACATCCTGGACGTTTCTTACCTGGCTGCCAGCATGGTGCGATAGTATTCCTGTGGACACTTGGTGGATGCACCAGATCGACCCTGGCAACGATTGCCCCAATACCGGTGTGGAGGCGTGGCCCGAAAGTTGGTAGTGGGTCCCAAGCCTAGTCCCAGTCCCAGTCCCATTCCCATTGCAATTTCCTGCGGCGCTGATTGCCTGGCCCCTAAATCATCTGCGTTTCGATTAAAATCCTCAGACTGCTGCGGTGGTGCCTGTTGCTCCACATCGGACAGACTGAATTTTCCTGAATTCATTGGCCCGTTGTCGTTGTTGTGCAGCATATCGCGCAGTGCATCGGTGGGGCTGTCAAACAGGACGCGTGCATCCTTTTTCTGCTGCTGCTGGTGGTGGCTCAAGGCCGCCTTCGTGGCCGTGGCGATAAGCGATGGTGGCAAAGATAGTACCACATTGCCATGGCCATGGCCACCGCCGCAATAAATCGCCAGACAGACGCTGAGCCAGGCCAACGTGAGTCTCATGCTGTCTGCCGTTTGGATCGCACCGACTTCGGAATCAGACTCAGAAACTCCAGTCTCTCGAAGTTGTTCCAATTTTTATTTCACTTCTGCCTCGTCGGCTACTTTGAAGAAGCCAGTTAGCCAGGCAGCCGACGGCATCCGCTGCGTTTTGGCTCTTAGAAAAACGGAGAGACTGAAACTGAAAGTTGCTGGCCAGCGGTCCAGCTTTTTATAGGACGAGATCCAGGCAAAAGGAGCGGCCCGCGGAGTTTTGGGAATACGCCTGCTGGTCGCGGTCGAAAGACCCTTGGTCACATATGAGGACACTTAGAAAAACTGTTACTAAATCTTCATAAGTGGTATGGAAAAGTTGTTCATATTGAATGTTAACTAAAACTAAAAGCCAAACCCTGTTTTTCTCAATCCAAGTTAACTTAAGGAACTTCTTCTATTCAAATAACTTTATTTTGGTTGTTTTTCAAAGAGTTTTATTACAGTTTCAGATATAAATATTACATTTTTCCCTCAGTGCTTGTTTGATTCCAAAGCAATGCCAATTGTTTGTCCAACGCGTCGTAGCATGAAATTAATAAAAAGAAATTGCATTGTACGACGACGAACTGGGAAATATGGCGGCCCACTTGAGATGGCCCTAAGCAACTTCTCTCGCACGTCATAGGTTTGGTTTTGAAATCAGCAAAAAGCAAATCAGTGGGCCAAACTCGATTGGTGTTGGTCCGGTTTTGTTTGGCTAACCTGTGACCCGGGGAGACCGCCTTCACAAATTAGCCAGCCAACATCTCACACTACCTGAGAAGTCCAGCGATAAAATCATAGAGTTCGCGGCTTTCTTTCAAGAGCCCCAGAAGCAATAGACTACCTTTGAGAATTTATTGCCTGCTAATGTTCGATCGCATTTGTCTGAGAGTTGCCCTTCTGGCAAAAAGCAGCAGCCAAGAAAAAATAAAACAAGGGCCCCGCAAGCAACAACAAAAAAAAGAGCACAATTGTTGAGTAATGAGCACTGCACGTTATTAATGTCACTGGGGAATCGAGAAGAAGGGCTTCGAGAAGGGTTTCTCTGGGGACCCAGGACCAGTTCTGGGTCTTGGGCCACGATTTTTAATTAAGTAATTCGCTGACTTTGTTAGCCCTGTGGGCTCCATCTGTCTCTGATCTTCTCTCTGGCAACAATCTGCGGTTCTCTTCCCGTGTTTTAAAGTTTTCTGTTCTTTTTTTTTTTTTTTTTGGTTGTGTTTAATCTGGCTAACAAATTGCTTCATTTCAATTTATTTGCATTCGAGTCGTGTTTCTTTGGGAGTTCGTGGCTACAGTTTGGTTTTCTGTTCCGATCCAAGTGTGGAAAACCTTTTTCCCTGCCTTCTGCAGTCGTGTTCTAATTTATTTGTCTTTGATTGTGCCCATGTCTCTCCGGGTTGTCGTTGGTCGTGTCCTGTCCTAGGCTTTCTTTTTGGTCCCTGTTTTTGCCGGGCCAAATTAAGCAAACATACATCATAGTCGGGGGCCATTAGAAGATGCGAATGTGGCGCTCTGGGCGCGATTAATAGACCATTCCCTTGATATATGTGCGCAATTAGAGCGCTAATCAAAACCTAATCTCCTCCGGAGTGCGGGATTTATAGGTCTTCCCTACATGGAGAACAATTTTAGAACCAATGGGATTACGATTTTGTTAGGTAAATACAAATTCTGGGCAACAATGGAAATGGAAAACTTTTTCTGATAAATATGTTTTTCTTTTCTACATAAACTTAGTTCATATTTATATAAAACTCAGTGTTTCTCCAAGTGCATCAAACTAACAACTGTCATTCTAATTGCAGCGGGAAATCAACGAGGTCTTCGAGACTCGCAAGCTGCAGCGTTTGGAGCAGCAACTCCGTGAGCAACTGGAGGAGCGGCTATCGCAGGCTGGAGTCCAGCCGCTTGATGAATTGTCTCGTTCCACGGGATCAGATAGCGGCTTTGACAGCAGCAGCACCACAGCAACATCAGGCACACCAGCAGCAGCAACAGCTCCAGTAGGAGCAGTCACATCGGGCAAACCAGTGACAACTAAACTAAGGGCATTGCCACCTCCGCCCCTTAGTCCCGTCAAAACTCCGACGAAATCCCTACCCACTCCACCTGCCGAGTCGGACGATGTTAACGTTTGGGCCTGCAAGTTCCTATGTGATCTGGACAGCCTGATGGCCGCTGGCGATAAGCTGCCCCCGCATTTGGCGGCCCTGGCCGAAGGATCCGGTTCCGGTTCGGCCAACAGTTCGCCCACCTCCCGGACAGCACCCCTCCTCCTGTCCGCAGCTGCCTCGGCGGCCATCCAGAGTCGTTACGGCAAGGGCTCATCCATCATGGAACATCAGCAGCAGCAGCAGCAGCAGCAAAATGGACTCGTCTTGAAACCAGAGAAGCACGTGAGTACACAGGAAGAAAACTATCCTACAGAATCTGATCTTAAGCCAAAAGTTACGCCCTTCAAAGGATTCCTTAAACTTCAATTTCGAACTCAAATCTCTTAAGCAGCATTTTCTAAAGGACCTACATTCAAGTTTATTTTTAAATTCCGAGATACAACTTAAATTCTTTAAGAAAGTTAAACCCCTAAAGTGTGCACATGTTCTGCAGCTTAAACTGAGATTTCCTAATCTCAAATCTCTGAAATTCCCGTGTAATCTCGGGCTGCCTTAATTTCGACATGCGAGTGAACAAACAGCGAAGCATATTTTATGAATGTGGGTTAGATAAAATGCGCTTCAAGACAAAGGCATTTAATCTGAATCACAACAATGTTGTCAACACACACAGCCAGTAAACACAAATTTTGGGGGCCCACACACACGGTTTTTGCCCCCAAAAAACCGAAACTGAAAAGCCTCACCCCTGAAAGTTCAGTGATGAAGGAATGTTCTTTCAAGAACTGCCATATGTTCTATCCATCCATCCATTCGCCGGATGTGCAACTGAAGCGCGTGAAATTTATGGGCAACAGAATGGAGGAGTTGGAGATGAGCTGGAAGATGGAAAATTTTTGGTGGAGACGGATGTAGACATGGAATTGGTACGTTGATAGACAGTCGTCACTCGGTGGCTGGCACTTGAACGAGTTAAACTTTGAACTGTTTGAATAAGATAGACAGCCATGTTTTATGGAAGTTGCACTTTTCGGGGGCATCTTTGCATCGCCATAAAATGTGTAATAAAATACTCTAATTAGTGCAGTTCTTTAGCTCTAGATTGAAAGACAATTAGGGATTGATTGCCCAGCATAGAGTCGTAAAAGATTTTCTAATTGCAATCAGTATGCTGCCGAGGAAAGGCCAAAGTTCAGAGAGATGCTGGAGAGTTGAACTCTTTGATAACCCAAAAAGCAAAATGCACTGAAAACTAGGTAAGAAAAAGAGGGAAATTTCTGTAATACTAAAATTTAGTAACCCACAGATACTTCTACCATTCCAACTCTTTTCTCTGAGTGCTTTGTGTTTTGTCTCAGGAAAAGTGACTGCAATCTTTGGCCAACTAGCTGACCCACTTTGTGAAGTCGAGGCCCATAAACCATAAGGCCCGAAACAGACTAACCAACTTGTTAGCTGTCTCCGGCTTATCAAACCGAATATATCTAATTAAAACATTTATAAGCCAAAATGGCTCATAAACGGCACCGAGCTTGCGGTCTCCCCGGTTGCATATGCTTAGCATACATTGCGCTCACCTCTCGGGTCTCCGATTATCTGGGGGAAAAACCTCAAAAAGGCAGCAGCAGCCGACTTGCTGCAACCAGACAAATATTAATTTTCAAAACGCGTGCCATGCCAATGGAAAAATACGACATCAACACCAAAAACGAAAACGAAGACCGAAAAACCCACAAAAAACAGAAAGGGGGAGTTGATATGTGGGTGGGGGGAAAAGGGCTTCATTGTCGCTGGCGTGGCTGCTGACAAGCCGAAATATTTGCTAGCAATCGATATGAGCCAAGAGTCTCCTGCCCATTTCCTTTTCTCCCGTTCTAGTTACAAAATGAAAGGCAACAGGAAATAATCTTGCCGGAGTCTGTTTTTTGGCCAAAACAGCTAGGGTCATGCCAATAGAACTCAATGGGAAAACAGAAAGATAACACAAATAGTTTACCTTGGGCTTGTAATGACTGCATTTCGATTTATCATATTTAAGAAGAAAGTGTAAAAACTCAAATTTTTGCAACCGGAACTGTTTTTCTTGTCATCCGACTTCCAAATAGTTGTTGAATTTTTGGGTGTTGTCTTGAGAAGAAAAACCTCCATTCCCTGGAGCTGTCATATTTTGCCTTAATCGCTACGGTAAAAGTACCAATTAAAAGCGCTTAAGCCTCGCTGCACTAATTAAGGCAAAGAATGGTGTCCACTGGCCAGCAGAGCGATACACTCATTCGGTCAATCAGTCAGTGAGACAGTCGGTAAGACTGAGGGCCATGATTTATGAGCTACCAACGGCAGCATAAATCAAAAGGCAACATCGGCCTTTTGTATCGAGGGCACAAGTGCGTGCCCAGTTTGCCAAAAATCAACTGGACAAACTGTCAATGAAAGTAAATCACCAGCAGCAGCAGCAGCAGCAGCGGCACCAGAATCCGCAGAACACGAGACAGTTTTTCAGCTTTTCGTTTCGTTTGGATTTTTGGTTCAGTTCGGTTTGGTTTCGCTCGAAAGGCGCAGGAGTGGAGTGAACTGGGTCAACATGCCGCCCTGCAGCAAGATCAGAAGAGACCAGAGACCTCAGCAGAACACTTCACTTCACTTTTTTCTTGTTTTATCTTTTTTTTTTTTGCTGGGGCTGTCAACACGGCAGCAGACCGAGCGGAACCCAAAACGCCCCAATTTAGTTGCCTGCAATGTTTATGGGGATCGAGGGTCTGTGTTTCTCCCTGCGAAAGTGAATCTTGTGCAGCATGTTGCATGCGTGTGGCAGGGGGGCATCATCGTCCAACGCAATGCGCTTAATGATGATGAACCATGCAGATGCAGCAGATGTGGAAGATGCACAAGATGCTGGCCAACACTGAGAAGAAAGCAAACCGTTTAAGTAGATTAATGTAGATTTATTGGACTTTAGATAAAAGTAAATTGGCACCCAGGCTATAGGATCTCTTTTTTTGTATTGGTATAGGTTTGATATCTTGTTCTTCTTTAAATATTTCCTAAGATTGGACCATATTTTCTCTCAGTGATCCCCTGTCCAGACAAAAGGCCGCGACACACAAAAAGCTTTTCACGCAGCTCAACGAGCCTCAGACACTTTGACTTAAGTAGAACTTGCAAATCACTGCAAGGCAAACAAACACGACGGCCAACAGAGATCAGGGAAGAAGTTTGACCAGGAGTTGGGCCAACCATGGTGGTGGTGGATAGTGATCAGGGTACAACAATGTCCAGACGAGGAGGACGATGGGCTGGGCAGGCGTTTAAGTGTTTTGATTTGATAATTATTATCAGTGCGCATGCGTGACCGCGGGCTCAACTCAGTCACTCACTCATTTGCCGTGGCAGTCAGGGGCATGTCCAATCGATTTGCGATAGTCTGGCCGAGCATGATCAGGCGTACTTTAATACTTATGTTGGACACTCGAAGACCGGGACTTTCTGGGTCACATATCAATAAAAGTGGAACGCTGAGGCGTTGCCCAGTGCATTTGTCATTCAGTTTCAGTGTTTTCTTCGATATCAAAACCAGTAAACAAACTCTATATATATATATATTTATTTTATAGATTTCTTGCGCCCCATTTTTATGATCAATTAGGAGCATTTACAGTTCACCCCCTTCCGAAATTCTTGATAACCCCCCGGGGCAAACATAAGAGGGGGGGAACAAGGCAATTTTTATGTGTCATTTTGTGTTCATTTTATTGCATTTTTCATTAACTAACCGAAGAAAACATTTCATTTATTTTCCATTCCATTTCCAAATCATTCTTTCGGCAGTGTTGTGAGAAATGTTCACATTTTTATGACATTTAAATAAGTCTTTGTCAGCGTTTCGGATATCGGATTCTCTACTGCCGGCCATAAAACAGATTTGAATTTTCCCCAGCCATAAAATGCTTCAATTTCAATCACAACAGAAACCCAGCAAGAGCGAGAGAATCATCGGGAAATTGCTTACATATGTAAAACAGATTGGGGCATTGAGAATTTTCTTCTTTTAATTTTTGTGGGTTTTCTGGTTGCTTTGATAAAATCGCTAAATTAATCGAGTGTGTGTGTGTGTGTGTGCTGCTTAGATAGATGATCTTTGGGACGATAACTAGCCGTAAAATGGTAAAAGTTTTTATATTTTTTCGATCGGAGGAGAAGCGGCGCCCGGCTGCCTTTAAATGGCCATATGTTCGATTCCCGACCATGCCCATAAACGCCAATGATCCAATGATCCGGACGCCCAATTAATGCGTCGCCGGCGAGAGTTGGCGGCTCATTAACACGCAGTTCACTCAGATGGCATCGGCATCGCCATCGACTCGTCTTTATTAATAATTCATAGACGCTGCCGTAACAGGCTCTGCCCGGAGACTGCTCCATAATGCATTACAAATTTGATTTCCAAAGAGCAACAGATGTGTGTGCTGCGTATCCCAAAGGACCCCCCTGACTCTCGGACGGGCCGCATCCGCATCCTGTGACCATTTTTAGACGGGCGTCGTCTGGCCGGGAGCTAACTATTACACTCGATTAGGGGGATATGTGCAGCTGGGTTATCGAAAATATTTTTTTGGCTTTTAGCACATTTACTATTTTTAATTTTTATGCGAAAATTTCATATTACTTCGATACATAGTCTGAAAGATATTCAAGTTTTTAAAGGGATCATTATTTAAAATGGGTTCCAGGCCCACTGTTTTTTGCATTCCATTTTTTTATTCATTTTTATATACTTGTAAGTTACCTAAAAATGCCTAAATGCTGGGTATTATGTACATGTGTTTATAATTTACTATAAAGCCCAACCATTTCATATTGATTGCTTTCGGGAACTCGACTGGCAACTCCAATCAGGCTGTGATACACTTTTTTCTGCCTGCAATTTCGCTGGCCAACGTTTTGCCCAAGGCCCCCAAGGAATTACGCTAACAGAATCAGCAGCAACGGCAGCAATATCGCAGCTACCACAGCAATATCGCTGCTGCCACAGCAGCAACCTGCTGCAGCAACACGGTTCCCGGTTTCAGGCCGAAGCTCGGCTCGAGGCATAAATACACATTTTTTTCTGCCGATAAATCATTTAAATCAATTTCCGCCTGTTGCTGTACTGCAGTCCGGATTTTTTCTCCGCCAAATGAGAAAACCAAATTGTCAAACGCTTGCCAAAGGCTTGCAAATCGAATTGACATAACGCACTTATCCTCCGATGGAACATGACCGTGAATATAGACATGCAGCTGGGCCATGGGTTCTTAGAACGAAGCGGCTGTTATCACACGCGGCTTATAAATCATAAACGAAAAACAATAGGGGAAATGTCTGTGCTAAGTCGGCTTCATTGAGATGCCTTTCCATGGAATTAACAAAAAAAAAAACTTAACCTAACCCGTCTGGTCCAAAGATTTGCATAAAATACAAAAATTCCTACAGTGCTTGCGCGTTCCACTTGACAATGTCTAAAAATTCCGTTGATGTTTCCTTTTTGGCATTGTCTCTGGTCTTGGGCTTCCCAACAAGGTAGCCTCCAGATTGGATTGGAATCGGAGGCTGGGTAGCTGGGGGCAGCCAGGTCCACCACGCTCATTATGCATTCAAGGTCCTTGTCCGTGGAGGTTGAGGTTGCGGCCCTCGAAACTGTCAGCGGCACTCAGTGTCGACTTTTCTTTATTAAACCTGACTGACTATATTTTAATAAGTTAACTTGTTCTTCTTCCTGCTGCACTTGCGAAAAGTTCTCTTAAAGTTTGAGAATATAAATATTGCAATTAAAATTGTATCTTAATATATACCCAAGAGTAGAGGTATAACTTGGCTTAAATGATCTTAAAACACACAAAACTAAATATTAAACCTTTAAAATGAAATCAAAAGCAATTTTCTAAGTGTATTCCTTGCCTCTTTCAGACCACCATTCCATTGCAATCGTTTTACCTTGATTGCGGACGCAACGAGGCATCGCCGGCAACCAAATCGAATGTTGCCTACATGCGCACCCTGTCGGCGCCGAATGGTGGATTCAGCGGTGGAAGAGGAGCTGGAGTTGAAGCTGGAGGATCTGGCGTTGCAGGCCTCCCCCCTCAGAGTCAGCGCAAGAGTCTGGCCTGCCCGCCGCTTAATGGCCAAGCGGACACAATAACTTTGACACCGGCAACTCATAAGCTGACAAATTTCCAAAGCGCATTGAAAATCGAAGAGATGGCCAAGGGAACGGCGACGGCGATGGCAACAGGTGAACCATCGACGACGACCACCACCATCGAGGATTTGAAATCTAGGCGACAGCGACAATTGAGCGGCGGCGACATGGAGACAATGCTGGCCTCCCAGCCGATGTCGATGCCAAAACGGGTGGGCATTAATCATGCGGCGCTGACGAGCAGAAATGCCATAACCCCGCCGCCGGCATCCTCAGCTTCATCCGCATCCCAAACAGCCGTCTCGGTTCACTCGGCCAAAGGCTCCGCTGCCGCCACACCCGGCTATCTGGTTGATGTGACCAAAAAAGGATCCACGTCGACCATTTGGACCTCGGAGGAGTCCATTCTGCGCAGCGTTGGCGCCGTCGATGAAGACAATAAGTGAGTGCCAACATTGAGACATTGCACTCGGAAAAATTTGAGGGCTTGACTTATGAAGTAACTTTATTAAAAGTATTGAAAAAAGAGACAAATTTTTTAATCACAATCTTTTGATTATATTGATAAAATCCATAAGCAACTTTTAAGTCAAAGCTCTATACATTTTTCCGAGTGTAATGGCCGCCTCTTTGAATTGATTTGTCAATGTCTTAATGCCCCTCATCACTTTGCAGCTCCACTTCGTCTTCCTCGGCCTGTGAGGAGGCAACGGGCGTGCTTAGTTCCGGGAAATCGGGCATTTCACTGGACTCCTCTGGACTGGACAACGATAATAATGAGAGTGGCATTGGCACGGCCACGCCGCCAAAGGATATGTCTCACTACTGGAAGAGCCACCATCTGCAGCACCATCATCATCATCATCATCACAGGAAGTGTGCCGGAAGTGCTCCGGACAATGAATCTGTGAGCAGTTTGGAGGCATTGCGTAAGATGCAGTTCCAGAAGAGCGGTTCGGTGGCCTCATCTGATGATCCTGATCTCCTCGAGGTCCTCAGCCAATGTGGCAGTGGTGGCGAGGCAGCAAATGAATCACAGGATGACATGTTGGACGAGGAGAAAGATAAGGCGTGCAAGTCCCAAATCTACGATGAAATTCAAGTCTTTGATTGGGATTGCGACTGCACCGATGGCGATGCCAGTAGTGCCAGTGGTGGAGGTGGCGTCACTGTCACTCCAGTCGTGCTCCGACGCAAGTACACGGCCCCACCGCCTATTCTCGTGCCCCGAACTTATAGGAGCCACTCCCTGGACCATTACCATTCACCACAACCACTTGTCCATCCGAGAAAGGTTCTGCCCATCCACCAGCATGCCATGAAGCATAAGGAAAAGGGACAACTTTCGCTGGTTTTGCGACAGGAACCATTCCAGTCGCTATTGAGTCCGTCGACAACCGCCGCCAATCAGCTGCATCACTTTGTGGAGTTGCCATCACCTAGCAGTGCCTCGTTGCACAGTGGCCTGGGTGATACTGGTGCCATCCAGGAGCTGTCCACCAAATCAAACTCGGCGCCGATGCTGCTTAAAGAGCGCGAGATGGGCAGGCGATTTGATAACTTTGAAGCTCAGAATTTGGTGAGTTTTTGGATTTGGAATCAAACATAAAGCGAGGGTAGATCGATTGGTTTATGAAAATATTTCTGTATCATGTGATGTATCGAAAATTCGATCAAGGAAAATAAGAAATTACAAATGGGCTTACCCCAGCAGGAAGTCAACCAATCTTTACAAACTTTTAAACTTTTTCAATGAACTACCAGCTTATATGTAAATAGTTTCGATTTATAAATTTTACAATAGTAAAACGAAATATTAAAAAGAATATACTTAATGTCAGATTTGAATCCAGTTTAGTTTAGCACTCAAAAATTACTTTAAATCAAGTTTTCTTTTATTTTATTCTGATAGTTCTTAAAGCTTTAAAGTTCTACTTAACTTTTTATTCAGTTCAAGGCGTTTTACATAATTTATCTTGCTTTAGTTTTCTGCCTTGGCTGAGTTCTGAGAAGCATTACAAAATACCACCAGCACCGTCAGTGGGTATTCCAATCCGCTTATGAATCCCCCCGCAGCACTTATCTACCCGCCCTCGCTTGAACTTGATTTCCAGACTTTAATGGACATTCTCTATCCCCCCGATACCTTCTTTCTTCTTTTCCCACAGACGTTGCGCTATTCTCGTTCCCAAAGTGATCGCTATTTAGCAGGTGAGTGAGTAGTGACTAGTGAACGAAGAGCCACCAACGGGTTCTCTTTGGCTATAACGAAAAAAAAACCAGCCGGGCTAAATGAGTTATTTAAATGGCCCGAACGAGGCCGGGACATCAAGGCTGAATGGCTGAATGCCTGATTTGATGCGCCGGTGGTCCTGCCAGCCAATTAGCGGTCTGTTATTAAGCCTGAGTGGTTTATAATAACAGTCTGTCGGGTAGCATGATTCATAATTTCTATAATTATTCGCGAGTCTGATCTATATATGTAATGTGATATGTGTTATATCCTACAAACGGGGAACATAGCGTAGGGCTTTGTTTGGTCAGCAATTCAATTTGGAACTTTTGCTTTCATTTCGGGCAAACAATTGAAGGACGGCCGGCAGTCATTTAAATTACTTTCATGTTCATGTTGGCCAGCAACGGGAATATCAAGAGCACCAGCAAACGGCTCTTTTTGCGAATTTCCAACACTTCCGTCAACACTTCAATACAAATGGCACAATCCCAAACCCAAACCCAGGCCCCCAAACCGAAAATGGCTGTCAATCTGTCAATTCCGTACACCATATAGTCCAAACATTCAGTAGCATGCAGGCACTTGGAGAAAATCTTAGTGCATTTAGAAATATCAAAAGAAAGTTCAAGGTTAATATTGAATGTCCGAAACTACTTCTGAAATCTATAAGAAAATCTCTTTAAACTTAAACTTAAACTTTCTTTGTGGTGTAAAGAAAGAGTTTTCATTTTTTCATTATAAAATAAGTTTATTACCTAACTAAGCACCAAAAACAATTTTCTGAAGATTTTCCCTTGGTGTACTTAGGCATATCTATCCACATATTGCCTCTTGACCAGAACTCGACGGGTGATGATGATGATGATGATGATGGTGGTGGTGTGATGGCACTCTTTGTGCTAAAAATGGCGTATAAATGAACTGGAGAACAAAAAATTGAATCACAAACTGGACGCCAAGTGTCCTCCAGTGGCCGTTGGAGCTCTCATTCAATTTCGTTTTTGCAGCCTGACTGCCCCCAACGAATTATGCACATACAAAGCAGTTCGCAGCAATCTCGGCCAATGACGTCAGTTGTTGGAAGAGGTGGCGAGGGAAGGGCAAAATAAGAGAGAGCAAACGATGGTCATTTTATGACCATTATCTCGGTGTTTGCCTTCCATTTCCTCGTGCAGTGACGTCATTACAGTGACGTTTTGCCTTTCTCGACCAGAACGTGCCCTCTGGAAAGGTCGCGGCCTTCAGTGGGTTTATCTTATATATTTACGCGTATTTATATTGCCAATTTTATGTGTGCCATTGCATTGCCCATACGCCTCGTTTGTCAATAATGACAGGCTTTAAGGAGAGTCACCGCCCAGCTTATTGTTGTTGTTCTTCTTCTTTCTTAACGGAAGCTGGCTTCCCAAGTGGCCAGCTCTTTGTTGTTGTATTGAAAAGATTAACACGCTTGCATATATATCATGATTTATATCTGATATTGCACAAGTACAAATTACCCGCATTTATATTTGATTCCTTATATACATCTGCTCATCTTCCGAGTAAATATATGGAATACACGAGCATGTGTCCATGTCATGTTCCGTCTTCCGCACCAAGACACGCCCCAAAAACAAAACAGAAATACAAAAGTGGGAGTAGATTAATGAGAAATAATGTACACGAGTGATTTGCCATTGATTTCTGCTCATAATTTTCCTTGTTTATGCAATTAATTGGTTTCAACAAAAACCAAACAAGTTACGAAAAAGTGTAAAGTAAACGTGATCCTTAAACAAACGAATTGCAGCTGTTGGAAAAACAATGGACTTACACTTTTACGATTAGAATTGTTCTGAATAAGCGAATCTCAATGGTGATATCAAACAAATGTACGGCTGTATCATCAAAGCTTCTCCAGACACAATAATACCATTTATTCAACTCTCCATAAATCATAAAACCGAGCAAAAGCTTAACCTTGAGCACACACAAACATCACATAAAAAAAAACAAAGTAAAACTGTGCCAAACCAACTGTGCACAAAGCACACACACACACAGCCACGCCCACACCGCACCCCGCACAATAACCGCCCACCGGTTTTAGTAGAGCAACAGGTGCGGTTGTCGGTGTCTTGAAAACTTTCACATGCCAACGTATAAATTTTAATGAATGCCTCATAAAACAAAGCAAAGAGAGAGAAAAACATAAGCTGACATTGCCCTGCCTCGCCGTGAGTCCTTTTGGCGAACATGGAAATGAAATAAGCATCATCAACATGACAGTTATTCATTTATTTATTTATTTGTTCGCCCGTGGCCCTGGCCAACAAGCAACTACCAACCACAGAAAATAATAATAATAATAAGCGATTGTGGCGCCGATAACTCTATGTTACATGGGGCCAGGAAGTTGCCCTTTCTGCTTCCCATTTCGGTTAACAATACCTTTTGGCCCTTCAAGAAGTACGAGAAGAACGGCTACAGCAGCAGCAACAGAACATCCATGTTGCTCATACGCCCCGTTGTTCATACGCCCCGTGCGCCCTGTTCGCTCGTTTTCAATGCTTCGGGCGGACGATGATTCGTGCGGTCGGCTCGCCATTTTCTGATAGGAAAACGAAGCCCCGATGCAAATTCATTAGTGCTCTTACAGGCGCCGTGCACGGTTGTCGATTCTCGTGGCCGCAGCGAGTGGAAAACTCGGGTGGAGCGCGTCGACGCCGCCGACTTAAAGCCAAATCAAAATAAATATAAATTCCAAAATAAATAGCTTTGAAAAGAATACCAAAAAGTGCTCAAATTGAAAAGTGCATTGTGTGCTTGAAATGGAGTGTCTTTCAGTGTAATTTTCTCTGTTAAACAATTTAAGAAGTCCGCCCAAGGCGGCTGTTAAATTAATTTCTTTTTATCGGTTAAGTCACATTTGTGAGTGCTTATCAAGACGGCGCTGCCCAAACTGGCCAATATGCAACGCCGTATGTCCATCACCATACGCGAGTACAAGTTCTTCAGGAGCTTCTCGCAGAAGTTCGAGAACTGGCCAAAACGCAAGGCCGAGGCATTATGGCGGAAAATGCGCGAACGCAAGATTGCAGGTGAGCACTAAGTGGCATCTACGATTCGCCAAGTCAGTGCACTGAGGGAAAAAAGAAGAATACACACTTATTGTTCAGCTATTAAATTTGACCATTAAAAAAACTGATTTGTTCTCCAAAAAGTAAAAGATTTTGTAAGATCTAAGAACAAATCTAGGGTGAAATGGTTTTTAAAAGTTTTTTTGTCCTGTTTCTTGCCTTGAACAGCGTTTCCCCCAGTGTAGCCCTGTTTCAAGGGTACATTTGTTTTGCCCGCCTGCAAATTATTAAATACTTTGTTTACAATTATGGAAATATGCGTGTCTGGATCATTGTGTTTTTAGTGGCATGGAATGCGCGCGCGCCACTCGCACCGCCAGCAATTGGCTGTTTATGGTTTTTCGCCACCCCTCACAAGGGGATCCTCCCTCTTACCACCTTTCTTCTCCAACCCAAAAGAATCTCCCATCCATTTTTGGCCGTTTATTTTTGGTAATGGGAATGCGGGGCATGGCTATTTCCAGTGCACAGCTTGTACTTATCAGTCGACGCCTCACATTTAAATCGAATTATTGGCAGCGCTAGTTTTGGAATATGTGTATCAATATAGTAAGAGGAATTGAAACAAGTGCCGTTCCTCCTGCTTCAACTCTGTCACTAGCATTCTTTCAGTCCGTCAGTCATCCCATCAGTTAGTCAGTTAGTCAGTCAATGTCCCAGTCAGCATCATAGTCATCATCATCCTCCACCGGTTTCGCCGTTTTCTTCGCACTCTTAGTGAAATTGCGCGCCAGTCAAGCAAAGCCATTCATTTAAATAAAGAAAATTGTTTGCGTGTAGTAATAAATGGAAAAAAATTATTATACAATTAATGTATGTATATTCGTGAACGGGTAAAAAATGCGGGAAATTGTTTTAATTATAACTCGTACCTGCCTCCATGGTTCGTGCCTCCGAAAAAGGAAAACATATATAAATATGATGCTACAAAATGTATGATATATACGCAGAAAATTGAATGGCCAATTGGAAAAGCATTTTTATGGCAATGGATTTGAATTTCCTTGTTCTTTATTCTGGCATTCCCTTAGGGAAAATCCTGATGCATAACGAACCACCTGTAAGCCACTTCAGCCTTCTGCTTCTTAATTTAATTTCATTTTCCTTTTTGCCATTTTTGGGTTATAACAATGTATAAACTTTCCATTCTCGTTGGCCGCCTTTTTGGATTGTTTTGTTTTATTTTGTTTCGTTTTATTCTGTTATTGTTTGATTATTTATCTTGCGAATGCGAAATTCGGTTATTTTTATTGTGTGCGAAAGGCGCTCAGCAGGAAATATGCCGCATATACGAGTATAATACGCTGACATTAAAAACACATTAAAAGCTCAATGATCTGTTATATTCGGCCAAAAAGAATTCCCTAGGGGCTCGCTCTGCTATTTGGCCTCTAATTACATTGAGGGCTCAAAATGGTTGCGCCGCTGGCGAAATGAGCAGCTCCACCCATCGGTGGAGTTCACAGCAAATTAAACTGACGTGATGCTGCGGGCTGTCAGTGCTCAACTGCTCCACTGCCACCACCGCCACTTGTTGCACCCATTCCTGGGGCAGGCCGAAATAAGGGAGTTGGCTAGAAGAGAAAACGGGGCCACCAAGCAGCTGCCGCCATACACTTATGGCCCAGAAATGTTATAAATAGCTTTATCCTTTTACCAGGAGGTAGGCAGTAGGCAACAGGCAACAGGCTTTTGTGTGCCCAGTGAAGAGGAAAGGAGTGTGGTGCACATGTCTATTTATGTTCGCCTGACATGGCCCAACAACTCTATTTTGAAAACGAAAACTGAAAATTACAAGTTCAACTGTGTATACAGCGAACGTGTATACATAGAGCTAGCTATTTCTGGGATGCAATTTATAATTAATAATCCACTTTTGCCAGCGTTCTCTTTGATGGCTTACCATTCAAGGCAACGTGATGCTGAAAATTTATGTCCCGCCTGACATTTGAATGCAACGACGGACAATAAAACATCCGCGCTGCTTGCCTTGCCAATGGCCAGTGATTAATTAAATAGCCGCGACACCTACGACAATTATTTATCTAATGGGGAAGTACGAACGTACTCGGTTCATTTGAATTTACCACCAACCATTTGGCTGTAAAATTGCATTGTTTTTCCACTCCTAGGGCGATGTAATTTACTGTTTATATGGCAGCATAATTGGCATATGGAAATCGTTTAGCGGCAAAAATTAATGAAATTGCTGAATAATGTTTCGGCCCGGCCTGTGGCAATTGAATTAGCCACCAATTAGTGTCAACCGATATCGATTTACAATTTAGAATGTTCGGTTTTTTTTTTTCAACTAAGGTCGAAAGCTTTTACATCAAATGTTTTTAGCTCATTTAATTATATTTAGTCCAGCTTAAAGTTTTAGTATGTGCGTAACAAAAGGCATTCACATTGCAGTTATGGTAACGGATGCCATAGAGGCCAAATCCTTTACATAACCAAGTCGGTGAACGCTGTTGTCTGTCATCCCCATACAATGTCATCTCTCTCAGCTTGACTGCATTTTTCTGGAGCACACTTATATACAGAGACACACACACACACATACACACACATAGACAGAAGTGGAAATGCGTGTCAGTGACACGCACCCACACAATGAGAAGAATTTTGCCCAACCGAAGGATAAAATCTATGGCAATTGTGTTAGGAACTTTGCTTTCATTGACACTTTTCTTGCCTCTCCTCTCGTCCTTTGAGAAACCAGAAACCGAAAAGCTGGTTTGACTTTTAGTCATTGTGGACGACTCCTGAAATCAATGCAAATTTTAATTGAAAATTTAAACAAATTTAGTGAACAACAAGAGCTTAAGCTATGACAAGAAAGGAGGCGGAGGCGGAGGCGGCTTCAATTAATCCCCAGCTCAGGCAAAGACAATATTATGCATGCAAAATTCTGAGACAAAAGCAAACGAGTTCAAAGGCAGGCTTAACTCATTTATAAATTGAGAATAAAATGGTAAAAAGCAAAATTTTAATCTAATGTTGAATGCGATATGAAAGGTATTAGCCTGATAAGTTTCTTAAATTTTAAGTCTAAAAACGAAATGCAAACTTCCTTGAGGAACTCATTAGTTTATGTCTTCAATTTCAATTTAATTCTATGAAATCCAATATCGCTTAGATAATAATCAGCGATTTTAAAGAGCAAAGGTCACAAAACAGCCAAGCCAGAAGAAAAAAAAAGTGTTTTTGTTTCATACAACAAGGCGGGCGTACTGGCATTTTATATATTTTTTAATTAGCCTTAAGGTCAGAGCGGCTCATCGTGGAAGCCCCGATGATCGGCATCGTCTCATGTTCCAAACGCCCCCAAACTTCCTCCCACCCACCTCACACACACACACATTGAGGTTCGGGTCCATCAGAATAATTATTATCCTGAGCGCAGGTGAAGTTCATGAATTTACGCGTCGCTTGTTGTTGGCAATGTTTTTACCATCCTGGCTTTGAGGAGCGGTGAGCGGGAAATGGGGAAGTAAAGGACAATAAGGACAACAACTGGGCGGTACTGTGTGTGAGTGTGTGTGTGTGTGTGTGTGTGTGGGCAAACAAGAACAAATATTGAACCTGACGCAATAAGCTGTGAGTGAGCCTTCCGCACACACACACACAGACAGAGACCCACCTCCACATTGTTTTACTCGCTTTAAATGGCTTTTAGATGGGTTTGCGCCTGTAACATCAACATGGCGTATGCGCAATTTATACCACTCTCAAGTGGCATTTACAGAGGAATCATACTGCCAACGCAAAAGTTGACAATTGTGGGATAATTAATGCAGGATAGTAAGTGAATCCACTGACACTTTTATTGGAAGAGTGTTTAAGTTTAAAATGTGAGAAAAATATAAAAAATTTCAAAATATTGTACGATTTAAGATTTCTTTCGAAGTATTCCAACTTTTTAACGTATTTGTTATTTAAGCCATTCCTAGCTCATTTAAAATATTAGACATTTCAGTTACATTTAATACAGGGCTAGGAAGACTATCCCAAAATTCAAGTTATTCTACCTGTTTAGCATTTTATAGGAATAAAAAACTCTTCTACAAGATGCGAGCCAAATTAAGGTTCCATTTGATTATCATTTAGACAATTTATAGCAGTCTAAAAATAAACTCAAAAGTTTTAGAGACACCCAAGTCAACAGGGTAATCGTCCCAATCATAGACAGGTAATCCCATATGTGTCGCTATTCTCGCCCACAATTTGCATACATAATATAATGCTTGAGGCCCAGTTATCCTGTAATTCCTTGGGTCAGGTCAAACGGCCTGTCGCTCCAATCGAAACATTGGGGCCCTGTTGACCATCCTGGCCCGCTGCCAAGATGCGCTAGAAGCGGGTCATGCGTCCGGCCAGCAGCTGTCAGAATGCCAGCAGCATAAATCGATGTCCACAAAGGGGTTGCTCTCGTTTTATAAATAACTGCAGAGACAGTCCTCCAGTTTGGAGAAGGGGGACGAAGAGGTGGTCGCTAGGAAAAGGAAGCCTGGATACCTGGACAGGTGCCCCCACATTCGCTCCATTGGCCCGTTTCGCCGGTGGTATTGGTATCCTCGTGCAAGTTAATCGCTTGCAAAACTCAATAATAATTCACTCAGCAGCAACAGCGACAAACCCACCCTCTTCCCCCTCGTTTTCGACATAGGTTCATATTTTCCTGCTGCCAGTAAGCAGCCGGAAACTGTTTCATGTTGTCGCTCTCAGCTCAGGCTGATTAAAAATCAATAGCTCTGTCGCCAGCCAGATCCTCTGTTACTCTGAACTGAGTTCGGGCCAAAAGCAAAAAAAAGCTAGCAAAGGCAAAAGGAGATTAGCATTTAAAATAGCTAAGGCCAAGTGCCTTTGGCTTTCTTTTGTTTCAGCTGGAATTCGATTTGAATTCATTGCGGTCTTAGACTCATAAAAAAGTATGACTTTACATTTGTTATTTGCGGTTCGATGCGTTCTTTGTCTCCATGTCTCAAATTAGCCTCAGCATAAATAAGCAATTTTATCCCCCCATCTGAGTTGGCAAAAACCCATCTGTATCCCTTAAAGACCCATTTCTCTGAGACTTTTACTTTCATGCCACTTTACTTTAACGTAAGGTAAAGTCGCAAAAAGAAACATTTTAAGACCATGACCGACCGCAGCCACATAAATTTAAACCGTCAACTTCACTTCGGTGGGTTTTACAACGTAATCCTTCGTGTGACCCTGAAAAGAAAAACGACCCCGTGGACAATGGCCAGACTTTGGTGACGGCTTCTTGACCAGGCCGCTGGTTAATTGGTTTTGCAGTCCGCTTGGATTGAATTTGGTTGGGCAAAAGGGATTCGCACCGCAACTTAATTACAATTAATTTCATTCTCGATGGAAACTCATATTCATTCTCGCTTTTCCTCTCTCTCTTTCTTGCAGAAATCGAAGCTGTGGAGGCTTGCAAATGGCTGCGAGCTGCAGGTTTTCCGCAATATGCACAGATGTACGAAGGTAAGTGCGAACCACATCCCCAAAGTACACCTTACCACGCACTTCCGTTTCGCGATGTACTGGGAGAAATCATTAGAAATAGAAAAATGAAATATCTAAACCAACCGTTAAAGCGATTAGATTGAGAGGATGTTGCTTTGAGAATTACTTTTAAGACTTCAAAGTTTTGTTTTTCAAGAAATTGAATATTTTTCCAAGTCCCCATTTCCCTCAGTGCATGTCGTGTCAGCATGCTTTTGCCCTGGGGGCGTGGCAGGCTGGTGGTCGGTAATTGATGGTCTCGTCATCAGCAGTGACGCAGCAGCAGCAGAAGCAGCGGCGACGGCGACCAAGGCACTTGACCAACATGCCCGCCATTTAGTCTTGTGTGTTTAACGCTCTCCAAGTGGCAGTTTATTAATTGTATTACACGAACTTTCACTTTCGCCACTGCCCCTACTCAGTAGAAGCAAAAACAAGCAAAGACAAAAAACATTTATGACGTGGCAACATTCGAGAACAATTTAAGTGCCGCCTCACGACGTCTAAAGATTTCAACACCAGCACCAGCATCAACAAAAGGAGCTGGCCCGGGACATGATAGTGAAAATTGATATCCCAAACACGCGGCACAAACCGCGACAACTATTAGGCTGAATGGTTCCATCCGATCCGATCGGGATCCGATCCAATTCTATTCAAGTCCTTTCAAGCGAAAACGAAAGCCCAGGCAACGCCTACCTACCGGATCGGGGCAATCTCAAGAATTTAAACCAAAGGAACGCAAAAAAAACCGAAAAAACCAGAAAAAAAACAGCCTAAGAGGCCGGCAAAAACTCGTGAAGCAGCCGAAACTCTGGATAAAATATAATAAAAGGCTAAAGGACACGCAGGCCAAAAGAATTTATGAGGACCACCTTCGTATAAAAAACTCCGCACAGAACCGAAAATTAAAATGGTTCTTTTTTTTTTTTTGCTCATTTCTGGCTGAGAAAGGGCTTTGGCCTTTGAAGTGCGGCTACCCAAAACTACAACCGCCAGCCAAAATGTTAGTATCAGTTCATTGAACCCTTGGCAAGCTGCATATTTATTTGATTTCCTTAATCGCAAACGAAGTCGACCCTTCTCTGGCGCATTTGTCGCAACGCATTTAACGCCTGGAGGCCTCGCAGATTGATGAGCCATACGGATCTCCATAAGATTCAAACAAATAAACCCGAAAAGTACATTCTTAAGCCACGTAGCTATGGCCGAAATACAAAAAAAAAAAAAAACGAAACAGTTTGCCGACTTCATTTGAATTATGACCAAAAAGCCAGCAAAAGAATAAAAACGCGAAGAGCAAAAAGTGAATCTGAAATGAAGAGCCTGCAATTTGGGCATGTCCGCAGGCGCCCTGTCGCCGACCTTGAAATATGCGAATTGTATTGCATAAATTCAAGACCAGAACCGACTTTATGAGATGTGCACTCAGAAAAAAGAGAGATGATTTTTGATACTCAAAATAAATGGATGGGATTTTTGCATCTGGGACTTAAGGCCCTTTGGATATTTTTAGGTTTATTGCATTACAAGCCATGAATATTTAAAGTTAATTTTTTTCCTCCTAACACCGATTTATTGAAAATTCAATCTTAATAAGAAACATTTCCTGAGCAACCTTCTTTCATTACATAATTTTCCTCAAGTGATAGAATCCCAAACTTTAATTCCTGACTTGTGGCGTAATTTGTGCGCACATTTAAACTGGAGCCCAACCCTCAAAGAGCCAGGCTTCAATTCCAAACCCAAACCCAATCCCAATCCCAAAGCCCATCTGCATGACCATCTTCCCCTGACCGGGGACAACATGATAAATGCGTATTTTAATGAGTTTCGTGTAAACAAGGCAGCGGCGCATGCGCAGATTGCTGCTCAAATTTCCTTAGCATTTGGTGGATTCTTTTCGCAGTTTTTGGTCGCTGCAAATTAAAATGCCGTAGGTGTGTAAGTTCCTTGCTGGTCTGTCATTTGGTTTGGCTTGGGGTATTGGGACTTGCGCTGCCGCTGAAAGGAGGTGTTCCATCTGTAAGCGACTGTTAATTTGCCCAGAGTCCCAAGGATGGAGCATTTTCCCTCCCAGCCTTTGTTTGCCTTTTGTTCATTTCTTGCACTCACATTACTCACCGAAAGTGGCAGACTTAATTCGAGGGTGTGACCTGCGCCAGGCCAGGATCATATGGGAGTGCTTAAGAGGGCAATAAGAGCTCATGAGGCATGGCAATCGATTTTTTGGTCCAAAAGAACCGGTTTTCCTGGGAGCTGCAAAAAGGCCAAGACACGGAACTTGAGGAGTGGTAAAAAATAAATCACTCGTGATCCCATAAAGTATCACATATTTTCATGCAATCTCCGCAAGTACCATTATTCAGGGTATTTAAAAACAATTTTCCTTTTGTTACATGAACAAATATTATTTTTTGATCTACAACAACTTCCTTCATTAATTGTTTACCTTGATCAGACTTTATCGAAATATTCAGTTTGGTTCAAACAATAATTATTCCACGGAGACCCCATAAAGATCTATATTAGACGGAAATCTGCATCCTAATTTAGATTCCAGGCTAATTGCTTCTATATTTTCACCCAAAACAGCCATAAATTATTCCTAATTACATTCGAATTCGAATTTCACTGCAATCTGCGTCATTGGCTGAGAAAAAAGATTAATCATATAATTGGCCCAATAAATGAGTTCCCCGTTCTTTCACTCTCGTGTAAACTGTGAAAAGCTTCGGTAGGAAGAAAAAGAAAAACAATTACATCGACTTCCCAAATAGTCCACCTTCTGACGTCAGTGGTTCGCACTAACTCGTAACTCCCAAATGGGTTATCGAACACTTGGTGGCACTATGGCACTCTATGGCACTGGCACACTTCCCCCGTTTATGTTTACACTAGTGCCTTCAATTAGAAACTAAACACATGCACAATACTTGACTGTTTAAAGGGGGGCATCCGAAATGGTCTTATAAATACCCAGCAGGGCCAAGAGTATGGAAAAGAACGGCGCTGGAGGAGCGTAAACAAAACTATAAAAAGCTTCCATCATGAAAGGAGAGAAAGAAACGAGTTGGGGCGTTACTTTCGAGCCGAAAGTTCAACAAACCATGAATGGCTTTTCAAGAAGAACAAAATATTGTTGTAATGCTAACAATATTTGTCCAAACAATGCAGCTTTTCCAGGCACCGATGCCATCCAGGCATCCAAGTATCCCAGCATCCAGTGCATCCTACGGATGTTGACGGGCCGTATTATCTGCAGCTGCAGATGCAAATGTATCTGTATCTGCAGTATCGCTGTTTTAATTCGTATCTGTGTGACGCGTCGCGACATGTGTAAACGTCTGGGTATAATCTTTTCTTTATATATATATATATATTTTTTTTTGCCTCATGTGGACAAGGCGGCGGTCGCCTTGGAACTTGATTTCCTACGTGCGAATTGGCCACGCAAATATGTGGAAAAGCGCTGTGAAAATTCAGCTGCCCGATGGCAGACTACCATATATCGTATATACCGAAGCAACCCGACTCGTACCCGTTTAATGATCGCTGGCGCCATGGGCGTTCGATTTTTCTGGTTTCTCAATTAGAATTTCACGCGTCGTCGAGACGTGCGGTCGCAAAAAACTTATACTTATCTTTATTCAGTTAATAGAAGTCATTTTTTTCTCACATCAACCATTTGCAGATCATCAATTTCCGATCGATCTGAACAATGTAGCCAAAGATCACACCAATCTAGAGAACGATCAGCTGCAGTCCCTATACCGCCGGCTCTGCGTCCTTAATCGTTGTGCCACCATGCGGCTGGATCAGTCCCACAAACCGCAAACACCACAGGTAAGATTGAAACTCATTCTATCTTAAAACCACATTCTCTTGTTATGATACCCCAAGGATCAGAGAAGTTTATACATCACCTAAATAATTCTTCGATTTTATGTTCTTTTTGTATCAAATAACTTTTTCTTCGTGCTTAGAATAAAGAATTGATGTTTGAAAATAACTTTAATAAATCTGTTTATTTTCTAACGAAATCCCTTTCAAGCAGAAGGAGGAATCGGATGATGAGAACTTCGCTCTGAGCGAGCACTGGACATTCCAACCGCACATTCGTCGCTGGTCGCGAATTGGAGAGATGGGCCTAGAGCTGCCGCCTCCCGGCCTCCTGAGCTTAAACGTGGAGAAGACAGAGAGTTCCTCCAAGGAATCCAGTCCAGATCGCTTCGAGGAAGATGGTGCCGGAATCACCCTAGTGATTCCCGGTTGCAGCAAGGCCAGTAGTGGTAGTGTGGCCACCGATGGCTCTTTAGGCGAGGGCTCCGATAGCGGTCGCTTGAGGAGAAGTGGCAGCGAGAGGATCAAGGATCAAGCTAAAGCCTTGCTAAGAAGAGTAGAGTCCATAAAATCCCGACGTCGCAAACGACAGAATCGCGAGAATGTGGTTATCAGTGGACCAACAGTTCTGGATCTAACACATTTCGGTCAGAGGAGTAGCTTGCGTAAACCGGATGCCGTATATTCCACCCCGCCCTCACCATCGGCCTTGAGCCCCATGCACACATTCCCCAAAGCGCCGTTCTTCGGCAACGACCTCAAAGTGCCCAGTCACAGTGACAACTTCCTGAGTCCCAATCGCTCTAGTCCGAAAAGGACACCGACTACTCCAAGATCGATGAGGACCAGCCCGTTGCACTTCTTCTCCAGTCCCATGTCGCAATTGAAGGAAGGCAAATCCGATGATTCCTCATCCTACTATAGCGATAGTCAAGAATCCTCAACAGGAGGAAAATTATCCCTGCGAAAACCCTCCAAGGCTCGAAGATTCCTTCAGCGAACGGGTAAAGTCGATGATATAGGTGCTCATTCCGATTCCGAGTGTCATCAGGGACGAAAACTCCTGATCAAGGATGCCAATTCCAATACCACCGAGGTTAAGATCAAGAAATTAACCCGCGGAGGATCACTGAACCTGGGCAAAGATCCCAAGAAGCGCGATGGTTTCCGTTCGTCATCGTTCCGTTCGCGCAGCACCTCGCGCAAGGAGCCCAAGAACGATGAGGAGCAGGCTGGTGGTGCCACAAATGGTGGATCAAAGCGGCAACCCGTCGTTCGCTGGCACAGTTTCCAAATGGAGGAACGTCCCAATATGATATTCCGGAAGTGTTTCTCCAAGAAAATCGAGCCACTTCAAGAAGATGCGGGTGGCATGCCCTTTGCTGCCATGTCGGCGGGTCAATTGCAAATTATCCGTAAGCTGGCACTGGTCACTTTAACTGGTCACATGGAGAGGTACTGCCCGTCTCATAGATCGGGTTGGAACTGGGAACTGCCAAAGTTCATCAAGAAAATCAAGATGCCGGATTACAAGGATAAGAAGGTGTTTGGAGTGCCTCTTCTAATGATCCTCCAGCGAAGCGGACAAACTCTTCCCATGGCTGTGCGTGCTGCTTTTCGCTGGCTGCAGCTAAATGCCCTCGATCAAGTTGGAATTTTCCGGAAAAGTGGAGGAAAGTCGAGGATCATCAAGCTGCGTGAACAAATCGAAGTCACCGATTCCACCGCCGAGTGCATGGATGTCTTTGATCTGCAACAGGCCTACGATGTGGCCGATATGCTGAAACAGTATTTCCGCGAGCTACCCGAATCTCTGCTGACCACCAAGATGTCCGAGACCTTTGTGGCAATCTTTCAACGTAAGTTTCAATTTTTAAATTTTAATTTAAATTATTTTATAAATTTTTTCAAGGGAAAAGGATTTAAAAAATCGTACATCATTTTTTCCTTAGATCTTCCTGCTGAAGTGCGTCTGGATGCTGTCCAATGTGCCGTGCTTTTACTTCCCGGATGAAAATCGTGAAATCCTGTACGTGCTACTGGAATTCCTGACCATTGTGGCGGCCAACTCACAGCAGAACCAGATGACTAGCAACAATCTGGGTGTGTGCCTGGCGCAATCCATTTTCCACTCGTCCATTTCAACGGGCTCTGCTTCCGTTTCCGCCTCACCACGTCGCAAAGGCAAGGGTTCCGGAATGCCGGACATGAAGGAGCTGGCGGAGGCGAAGGCATCGCACGAGTGCCTGTCATTTATGATTGAGCACTACAAGCAGATTTACACGGCGGCCAAGGAAAAGCTGAGCAAATGCAACTTTAGCTACATGGAGGAATCGAAACCACTGCCTCTGGAGGCTCTGGGAGAAGGAATGCAGTTCCACAATTGGCGGGGATATCTCTATGAGTGCACTAGTGCTACGATCAAGGAGGGTCGCGAGAAGTAAGTTACTCTATAATCCACATATTAAATTATATTTTTTAAATATATCTTCTAATCCTCTTTAGAACCCGTGGCTGGTTTAGCATAAATTCGCTGAATGACAGCAATGTGGACATTGCCTACAAGAAGGTGGGCGATGGTCATCCACTGAGACTCTGGCGCTGCTCTACAGAGATTGAAGGACCACCAAAGGAGGTTCTTGAGTTCGTGATCAAGCAGCGTGCCTCTTGGGACACGAATTTGCTGCAATGTCAGACAGTCAAGAAACTGGATGATCGCACGGAGATCTATCAGTATGCCTTGGACGGCCAGTTGACCACGGACTTTTGTGTCTTGCGGTAGGTTTAAAAATAAAATGAGATAAATATAAAATCTAATATATAATTTAAACATTAATTTCCTTTTTTAGTTCCTGGCAAACCGATTTGCCACGTGGTGCCTGCGTTATTGTGGAGACATCCATAGATCATGCCAAGGCCAAGCCCCTATTCGGTGCAGTAAGGGGAGTGGTTTTAGCCTCGCGGTATCTCATCGAGCCCTGTGGCAGTGGCAGGTCAAGGGTTATGCATCTGGCCAGAGTGGATGTGAAGTGAGTTTAAATTTAACTTTATAAAATTAAGATATCATTTAACAATATAATTGCCTACTTATAGGGGCAAGACACCGGAATGGTACAACAAGAACTACGGACACATCTGCTCTCATTACTTGTCCCGCATTCGATTGGCCTTCAAACACGTGGCCGATGGACCCGAAAGCAAGGTCTAAAGGATTACTAAACAAATGAAAAAAAAAAAACAAGGATATATTCATCTGTTCGGATGGATGTTTGCTGTATTCGTTGTCTGTCGCAAAACTGACGCATTTATACGTAAATAGAAGATAGCTGGAGGATGAAGATAGGCCCCCACTTCGAACAACCCAACGATTACGCAAGAAAATTCAATTAAACCCACGGACCACAGAACATGAGCTTGAGTTTCATCCATCAAAATGAAAGATGAAGCTAGATGAGAGAGAGAATATATATAGAGATATATTCTTGTAAATACACTTAGTAGGTTTCTTAATTTAGTTTTCGATTTAGAATTAACTATTTAGTTTACTGTATTATATTTATACGTGGTCCTAATTTATACGCATAATTTTACTGTACGACAATAGCAATCTAACATCCAAAATACTCAACACACGTAAATATCACAAAGTATATCTTTAACGATTTCTCTTGCTAAAGTCTAGACGTCTACGTTTACGGCACTCCAAATCTTTAATGTTAATTAGTTTGTAGTCTTGGCAATATGTTAAAACGTATATTCGGGAAAAATAAGAAAACAGAGAAAAGGAAAAACAGAGAAAAGCAGAAAAAGCAAACCTTAAAATGTGTAAAGCAAATTCAACTAGTCAAATTTTATAAATTTAAGTTAAAGTACTAACCCCAAAATACACTCATCAAGATGACCACAGTTTTTGTGTCCGGAGTTAACTATTGATTTGGCTTCAGATATTGATTGATTCATTGATTGATTGATTGACACCGCATTACCTGAATATGTGTCTGTGTTGATCCAATAAAATGTACGATTATTTCCATTATGCGGTGTAAAATCGGAATTATTATCACTATCATTAGTTTATGGATGTGCCCTAAGATCCCCGATCAATATATATATATATATATACACTATACTATATACTATAGTTTTATATGTGTCTATAAATACGCTACCACATAAATTTATTATCGAATGTACGAGTTACCCATGAATATCGGTAATGACAAAAAGGAAAAACCAGATTTGAAAACACAGAAACTAACCAATGTCAAGTGTATAGAGAAGAGCTGTAACTCAAATATTCGATGCATAAAGGAAATCGCAATAAAAGTACATATTATGGAAATGCGAACAATATAAACCAAATATAAAGTTTGTTTGATTTTTTTGAAAATACTGGACTATTGAAATTATTATAAATAATCTTTAGGGAGTTATAATCTCTCGCTTTTTTGATATTTAAAGCAATAATAGGCTTAAAATTTAATCCAGAGAATCTGATGGAGTAATTACCATTATTCTTAACCTGTATTACTGATTCAAACCCTTAACCGAAAGTGTGGCTCAGTAGCGCCCCTGCCGGTATTCTGCTGAAACAACTTTTTAACCGATTCATTTGGTATAGATGGCGCTCGGTATCGTACGCCATTAGCTCTTTCGGCTGCATTCCGCAAAGGTGGCATTTATATTGGTGGCTGTATAGATGGCGCTTTTGTTGGCTTCTTTGAGATTCGGTAATTTTCGGAGTTTTAAAGGCGGGAAATGGTGGTGCATTTTTTATGCATTATTAGGCGACTAAAAGTTTAGAGCATAAGGATTTTTTTGTAGTCTTACTATACGATATAGACTCTATATCCAGATACTGCCTATTTCGTCCGATTTTGGAATATGGATCATGTATCTGGGACCCCTAGTATGGGGTTCACCAGTGCCTTATTGAATCCATCAAAAAGAATTTTTTAATATTTGCTCTCCTGGGATGCAAACTTACACTTTCCCTCTTTTAAAAGTAGACTCTTGCTAATTAATTTGCCATCCCTCGCTAATCGTAGGACGATGCTTGGTGTCGTCTTTATCCATAATCTTCTTAACAGTGAAATTGATAGCCAGGCCCTTCTAGGCCGCTTGAATATCCATGTACCCCTCAGGATTACTAGAAACTATAATCCTCTGTCCTTAGAGCATTGTAACTCGAACTTTGCCCAACATGAACCATTTTTCGGGTACTATGTTCTAACTACAATGATCTTTATAACATTACATCTAACTCTTCTCCTAACACTTTGAAAGATTCGATACTAATCCATTTAGCACAAAACTAACTCTCCTCGTATCTTTACTAATCCACTCGGATCTATCCCCGTGTTCCAAGCTGTACGTCAGACGGCAGCGCCCCTCGGTCGGTTGGACGAGAGGTGGGTTGCACGTCAATGGCAATGGGAGTCGCTTAAAAAAAAAAAATCATGATCAATATAAAATATAAGCTCAACAACGACAACAGTACATATGTGTGATAAACTTAAAGACTAAACCCTTTTTTTTCGATTTTTCTTTCTGTTACCATATAAAATAACCAGAAAAGATAAATTAGTTTTTGTTTCCTTTTAATTTAAAACTGCGTTTAAAAATCTTTGAGATTCCTTTGTCGCCTCAGTTCGAGTTTTGTAAGACTTTTCTCTATTCCGAAAACCGTACATAATTCAAGCAATCACTTAGAAAAAACCTGTTTGAGTCGAACCCATTAGCCGCGACTATCATAATACCAACTAACTGGCAGTTTAAAAACAACGGAGCCTTGTTGCTCTCTAATTGACTGCCGCCCAAGCGAGGCGTCGACTAATAAATTGACAGCACACGAATGGCCGGGAAAGCCCACCTCTCTCGCTGGTTTACACATGTCGGGAACAAACTGTCGCTAATTGTGCCCCGGCAGCCCCAAAAACTGACCCCGAAAAAAGCTTTACGAAAGGAAGGCGCTTACGACACACACACTCGCACTCAAACTCTCTCATTCATACGTTTTCCGTTTTTCCCCCGCACAAGCGACAGACATTAAAAGTCCATTAAAAAATTATGTTCACCATGGCGTGCTCAACTCCTGTTGGGGCGTTTGATTGTGTGAGAAGAGAGTCCAGACTTGGGCGAAGGCAATTTGTGCACTCGAAAATATGTTTCGTTTTCGAATTGGCAAATAATAGTTTTAAGAACTTAAAGGAGACTAGAAACAATAATGGTCTGGAGTGGAAGAACTTCTTTGAGGATATAATTTTAGGTATTTTAGAAAGACCTATTCATTATTTTGCCTGTTTGGTTGTTTGGGATTTTGAATGCAAATAACTTTGTAGTAGGTCAAATGCCTGAACTTAATGTCAGATATTATAAATAAATACTATTCTTTCCCAGTTAAGTGACTGAACTAATGCTTTTTTACTTATTAACCTAACAATTTGGCTTAAAACTAGTTAAAATATACGATTTAGTGACCAGTGTCTAAATGTTTAAACAAAAAACCTAACAACGGTATTTCGAAAAACCTCAGTGTAAATGTGACGACCTTAATGGCCCAGTTAAGACTATATTTAGAGTGCAAGAAACTACTGCCGCTGGCTGTGGCACTCAGGCAAGGCATAATTGTAATTGCAAATTGCATATTGCAATGTTGCCCACATGCAGTGACATCGATTGCAGCAGCAGCGGCGGGAATGCAAATGTCCAACGTATTGATTGCATTAATTAATTAATTTGTGACTTAATTTCATGGGCTTGCGGCAATCAGCGCGCCATGCACGCACCGCTGCCAAAATGTATTAATATTGTAGCAAGAAAGACTCGTCTGATGCCACCACACTGATGCGCTGAACGTGTGTGTGTTTGCCTTGTTATTAATTGAAATTTAATGGCACAAAATATTTTTATTTATTTATTCGACTGCAATTGCATTTATGCGCACTTCCGTCGCCCCCACACGCACGCATTTTGCAGCAGCAACAACATCATTCGTAGCCACCGCCGATGGCGGCTGGCATTTAACATCAAAAGCCCTGCCCAGACCAGACACCCCACCCTCCTCCCACCCCCTGGCTATATAGCCAACGAGCTTGTAATTGATTTCACTTAAAAATTAAATAATGCATGCGGTTTTTACTGTAAAATGGATTTTCCAAATGCTGCTGCCGCTGCCACTGCCGCTGCTGCTGCTGCCGTTTCTTTCTGTACTTTTAGCTCCTGCTCTATCGCTCCTTCTGGCCCGTGTTAAATTAAATATGAAAATAAATATCAACATAATTGAAATGGCAACGAAGGCAGCAGGAACTGCTGAAAAAAAAAGAAATGTGGCAAAAAAAAAACAGCAAAGGCAGCCAAAGCGACCGACACTGTGCAGCTGGGCGACGTAATTGATGAAATTATTTAAGAATTATTTCACAAATGCGGCGTGACAATTATGCGGGACTATAGCCCAGATCATGAACTGAGTGCACAGAGAAAAATAAAGGTTTAAAGTTAAAAAGTTTTATAATTAAGTTTTACACAGAAAAAGTGAATGTCAGAATGAGAGCCTAACCACAATTCTTTACAGGAACTTTTACCTAATAAAATACAAGTTTAAACTTTTTTAACTTATCCCTTATCAGTCTTTTAGATTTGTAGTAAAAACTTTCCTCTAAAATATCAAATAATTATTGAAATATTGCTGAAATATATTTGTAAGATTAGGAATATTTCTAAGTTATGTTGAAAACAAAAATAAACCAAAATTGTAAAACTAAAAGTCTTAAAAAAGGACTAGTTGTATTTTTCTCACTATTCCCTTTTCAGATACATTTACAGTCGTTATAAAGTTAATTTAATAAGTAAAAATATAATTCTAAATCAAATCTAGGTTTTAAGTAAGCACTTTTGTCATAAATAAAATAAGATTTATACAAAATTTTAATTCAGCAACATTTTTATGTTCCCCCAAAAGTCCCTAACCAAAACCATAACCTTTCCCATTTTTCCCCAGTGCACGGGGCATATTAAAATGAGCAAATAATAAAGCAGAAATTGTATTTAAACGCAGGCTGTAATTAATTATCTGCATTGGCTGCCTCTCCTCGCGGAGGAGTTCTGTGTGTTGATCGCATGCCAAACAGTGCCCACAATAAATTAATGAACCGAAAAACAATTATCATAAATAGCAGCGGCAGGCTGCGTATTCGCAACACTTTTGCCATGAACTGATTTGCAATTCCATGCTGTTGCGAATTCTTTGTGAAATATTTAACATATTGCAATTACAATTTCTGATAAATAAATACAAAATGACATCCTCCCAATTGATTTTTACCATTAAACAAAACAAAAAAAAAACACCTTGACTATATAATTGTTTGCAATTTTCCCTTTAATTTTGCATTTAAAAATAAATTCGCTGACACTCGGAAACTGAGCTGAAATTCCCCAGAACTCTCCGACCAATGCCAACTAAAGCAAAACGCTTTGTGCCGAGCAAATATATCTCCTTTTTTGCCTTAATTAATTAAAAATTATATTTGCATTCATTTTCGCCTTTATTCTTGACATGCAATAACCAGTGGAAAGAGCAAAAAAAAAAATATATAGAAAATTCCTGCTGGTTTTCCACGAACGAACATTGCTTGCAACAGAGATATAAAAAAAAAGAGAAAAACAAGTTGGAGAAAAGGCAATTAAAACGCGAAATCGCAAGGCACTTGGCTCACTCGATTCCCAGAGACCTGCTCGGCAAATGCTTGTTGCGCTTGCTAATTCGCCCTAAAAGTGTTTGAAGCCTCGGTCTCAAGTGTCCGCATATGGATTGCGATTCCCCGATTGCGATTCTTATTCCCTCCGTTTGCCCCTTCTGATTCCCAAATGCTGAGAACCGAGAACTGAGAATGGAGAGTTGAGAACTGCGAACTGCCGGCTAATCAGCGGCACGTCAAACGCCTACGCAAGAATGCGCCCGCGGAAAAAGAGCTAAATGCAAATTGCAAAACGCGAAACTGGATACGCCAGACTGGTGGCATGAAGATGGAGGACGAGCAACGGAGGATGCGGCTAAAGACGATGACAGGGCAGGCAATCCAGGCCACCAGTGGAGGCAATCGACAATTGTCTTGGACGACTGCGCGGGTCCGAAGGGGCAAAAAGTTGGCGTTGCGACAAATTTCTATGCTCAGCAATCGTAGATGTTAAGGGTATATTCAGTTTGATTTCCTACATTAAAGATTTGTTTGTTGCGAATTAGATTGGTTCTGGGAATAAAATACACATTTTAAATAAAGTTATGCTGGGCCAAACGATTATTTTTAAAACAGGTTTAATAGAAGAAAGTTTTCGGACCAACATTCCCAATAATACTTTAA